GGTATCAGAGCCTGACCCAACCGGAAGTGTGCCGACGGGGACGTCGAGCCTCCAAGGGGGGTAGATTGTGATGACCTTGTGGGTGGGTGTGCCGTGGGCGGGTGTAAGAGACACTGTCAGGCTACCACACTGGCGAGCTATGGGTGCACAAGTCCCACATCGCCTGGGTAGAGGAAAGGTGAAGTGCTTATATGTAAGTGCAACATCTCCAATTGGTACAAGGCCTTTTGGGGTGAAGCCCAAGAGCAAAATCGTGCGGGCTCAGGCCCAAAGCGGACAATATCATACCATGTGGTGGAGCGGGTCGTTACAAAAAGGGACCAGTTTAGATCCTTGACACACAATAGAAGGTGTTGTGGAAAAAGACGATATCATTGGTAAAGGTTTTTTTGGAGGCATCACGGAGTTGAGGAGGCTACTTAGGAGCTCGAACAGGAGGTTCACTCCAAGTATCCAGAGTTATTTTCTCCCTCATGTATGGCTTGATTTACAGGACGAAATCTTTTAAAGTTGGAAAAAATGTAATATTTTTTATTTTGATATATATATATATATATATATATATATATATATATATATATTGTGGAGAGAAAAATTAAAGAAAAGTCAAAATTTGGAAATTTTGTGGTAGAGGGACCCATCACCACTATCTTTTGGATCTTTGACCAAGAGGCCATCATCTCTTGGCCTCTCATTCTCTCTATCTCCCGGCCCTTTCTCTGTTCTTTCTCTTTTCTTTTTCTTTTCTTTGCTAAATTTCAAAATTTGATTATTTCCTCATCTCTTGGAGTTTTTGGGAGCCGTTTGCGGCAAAACGAAAAGCACGACGAGATCTACGTCTGAGTACAGACAATTTCAGCTTTTGGCCTCCCCTATGATTTCGAATTTGAGACCTATTTTGAGGGTTTTTCTACAAATTTGAGGTAGGGGTGTTTTAATGCATGAATTCGTGTATTTTTGTGAGTTTTCTAGCTTAAAGTGATGCCTAGTATGTTTAATTAGTGCTAATTTTTGCAAAGAGTTGTTTTAAATGATAAACATGGAATGTATGTGACTACTTGTTAATCGTTTTAAGGTGATTTAGCATGCTTATATACTTATATGAAATTGAATCCATATTTTACATGCTAGTTATGCAAAGTTAATATTAAATGAGAGTTCCATCATGTAGTTTATAAATTTGCCTTTGTAAAGTATGTGTGAAGGTTATATGGTTGGGTTGATAAATTGAAGTACAAACATTTATGCATTCATTGGGAAAGAGAAAGGGGAAAAATATTTTTAGAACAAACGAAATTGTTTTGGGGAAAATATTTTCTAAAAGTGTTGCGAAAACCGGACTCCTAGGAGGCGCCTAGTGGTCCGTGATGTTGGTGTAGTCTAGAAGGGAATGTAGTTGAGTTAACTAGGCCGGATGCGACGCCTTGGAGGTGCCTTGTGATCATGGATAGTTAACTAACCTTCTTTTCGTGACACCTCGGAGGTGCATTGGGTCGAATTACACTAACGGTTTGGTTGTTGAAATAGAATTGTTTCGGAAACGGGGAGCGACATTTGTATAACATTGCATTTCATGACATTGTAGGAAATTTGTGATTGGTTGACATTTGCTACACACTTGTTGTTGTGGTTGAGAATATGTATTCCCCATGGTATGCTTCCATTTCTTTTTGCCCATTCTTTGCGTGAAATTCATGGGGATATAAGAAGTGTGTCTTAGACGCTTCCTACTGAGCTTATGCTCACCCCATTATTTTTTAACATTTTTTAGGATACGGAAAAATGTGGCAGACGACGATTCACCACAAATTTAGATGAGATTGACGATCTATTTTATTTTGCTATCTTTTGTATTAGAACTCTAATATTTTGTAAATATAATCTTAACTATTTTGTAAAACTTTAGTCTCATTAGTATAATGTTGTAAGCTATGGACTTTTAAATTTTAGCTACATTTTATGGACTGTAACTTGATGTAACTTAGGTGTGTTCCTTGTTTGGATGAGACGGAGGAACGAGATTTTTTTTATATGTATGTAAACATTTTGGGAATGTGATATAATATTTGTGTTGTGCATTAGGACATGAAAGATTAGTTTTAAGGCCTAGTGAGGCCATTGCATTTTTATGTATTTCAACAGGTTGTAGAGGGACTTTTTCTGCGAAGGTCATGCTGAAATTATATATATTTTATTATTATTATTTTGGTATCTTTTTGGGTCGTTACACTTAAACCGTTGTAGGATTACAAAGATTTTTGACTTATTATTATTATTATTATTTGACAAAAAGGGAATAATATAATCAAACCATTATTACAATGTATTAAATTCCGAGTTTGAGGATAAAATTATTCACGTGGAGACTCTAAGGGATGAGCATGGAAAATAAGGAGAGTAAATTACACTCACCTTTCATCTAGTTACAATTCACTTATTATTTTAGATAGTTATAATTATCTCCTTTTTAAAGCATCAACCCTTTTTGGGGGAGAAGGGTGGATTGTTAGTATGACGATTTGGAAGATATAATTCGGGGACATGTATGATTAGGTTCCATTTGTATAGTTGGTGGAATTTGGCATATCTTAACCAAACCCTTTGCATCGGCTCGACGCACACTTACCTGGTTGGGAGAGGCCAAATACCAAATCCGCTTCTATATAACCCCACGAAGTAGAAGAAGCCCTTGCGAAGGTCAAAGAAAGAACTTGTTCCTCCTCCATAAGGAATTCTTCCAATAATTCGAGCCTAATCTTTCCAAAGAAACATGTACAATACTTTTGTGTTTATGAGCTAAAGTTCGTCCACTAGCGAAACCCAATTTCCGCGAGCAAGGGAGCCCAATCACGTTACAATGGGTTCGTGGTAATTGGGCGGGCCCACAATGACTCGTAGGCTGACTTGATGAATAGCGCGAGTTTGAGCCCGATCGCGGTAATTTTTTTTTTTCTTTGCAAAAACAACGTCGTTTTAGGCCGAACGGGTCTTCTTTTTTTTAAAAAAAAAAAAAAAAAAAATTAGGCTACAACGGTCAGGAAGGCACAGTTTGGCAGCATGATTTTTTGGGGAAAAAAAAAAAAAAAAAAACCCAAAAATGGGTTATTTTGAGCTCATTTTTTTTTAAAAAAAATAAAATAAAATTCATTAAAAAAATATTTTGTAGGCACTGTTTGTTCAATTTTTTTTTATTTGGGCCAAAAATTAATTAAAAAATCTATTCTTTTCCCTTAAAATTTGATTTTTTTTTCTTTTTTTTTTGCTTTAATTTTTAAAAATCTGCCACAAATAGTACATTTGGCCGGTAAGGCACTGTTTGGCTGACACAAAAAGTGCCTTAACAGCTATAATTTTTATAAAAAAAATTCAATTTTTAATAACTTTTTTTTAAAAAAAATCCATTTATATTATATAAATACCCCAATTCCTATCATTCACCTCACATTTAACCCAATCTCTATTCTCTACCATTCAAGTTACTTCATCTTCTATATTCTCAAACTTGGCTATTATTTTCAAACTCAATCCAATTTCATGGATCCTCGATCAAGTAACTCCCAACCTTCCACACAACAACCGATTATCTAAAATCCGAATTGGTCTACTGCCGAAAATGAAGTTTTATGTTGGGCGTGGATGTCCATTACCTCTGATGCAATTACGGGGCAAATAAAAGTAAGAAAAAGTTATTGGAGCGAATCCTCAAAAGTTATGTACAACTTATTGGTATTTCATCTTCGTGAAATACAGGAGCTTTTATGTATCATTAGTCCACCACCCAAAAACAAATCAACAAAAATTCTAGGTGCATGATTAATATCGAAATGAATCCCCCCAGTTACTTCAGTATTGATGATATGGTAAGTTATTTATTGTTTTAAATATAACTCGTAAATATTTTAAACATTCGGCTTTTATTATTAATTTTTTCATGCGGATGACAGAAATTAGAGAAGTGTTTTGTAGTCAAACAGGCGGTGAATTTGAGTTAAAAAGTTGCTGGCATATCGTGAAGCATAACATCAATCCTAACTTTTAATTTATATAATGGATGATGTATTGTTTAAATTTATAATATTAATCCTATTTTTTTTAATCCATATAATTGATAATATATTGTTTAAAGTTATAACATCAATCATATATTTTTTAATTCATATAATGGATATTATATTGTTTAAAGTTATAATATCAATCATAACGTACATTTTAAAATTCATATAATAGATAATGTATTGTTTAAACTTATAATATCAATCCTAACTTTTTAATAATTTGCAAAGATATTATTTGATTGAAAAATATTGTTGTTAGGAATATAGTCGTTAGTAAAAAGTTTTTATTTTTATTTTTAATTTAATTATTTTTTTTAGATCGAAAATTCGGAGAGTCTGATGGAGTGCCTTTTTCTTAAGAGCCAAAGTTGCTGGCGTGGCTCTTAAAAAGTTGGAAGAAAATTGGATAGAAGAGAAAAGAAGAAGGGATAAATGAGATATCCTAGGAAGTGATTGTGTACTTCTCTTTTTATTTGGTTAGAATGAAGAAAAAATAATGAAATAATACCTTATTTTGTCTGTTAGGAGAGAAAAGAAGAGTGTGTTAATTATAAGAGAAATTTTATAATTTAAATTTTTTAATAATAACTTTGCCTTTCTTCCTTCCCGTATTATGTTCATATTTGGAGAGATAAATATTTGTGAAGGAAGAATGATGACTCATCCATCATTTTTTTTTTCTTATGCCCTTACTTCATTTCCACCAAACGATTGATTTCACTCTTCCCATCTTTCGTCCACCTTTTTTCCTTCTTTCTTACCAAACCTAGCATTAGTAAAACTAAATCAGTTTGTTACACTTGTAACCAAAGGAGAAAAAATTATAATTATTAAAAAAATACAGGATAAGTAAGTGAAATAAAACCAAAGTAGAGGAGGAGTAAGTGTAATTTACCCAAATAAGTGTTGATATGCAAAAATGAAAGGGCTACGATGCAAAATTAACAAACCACAGGGAAAAGAGATTGGAATCAAGATCAAACCTTTCCGCAGTCGCAATTCTGTTCCCTGTTATACCGTCTCTCTCTCCAAAAATTCTCTATCTAGGGTTTCTTCAAATATAGCATATATGTACATATAAATCATACTTTCACATATATACATATATATATTCGAGGGTTTCAATCTTGCAGTTGGTCGATCGAAAAGGAATGGATCTAGAGGTTGTGGGCCGCCACGCCCTCCTCTTCGACGATGACTCGACGGCGGCGTTTGTGAACTCCGGTGATGCCCTCGTCGAATGGAATTCTCTCGTCATCGATCGCTACGACGTGCGCCACCTCCTCTCCGGGCCTCCGCCGCCACGGAGGCGGCGCAATCTCCATCAGACACACTCAACTTCGTCTCCTACTTCCGTCACTTCTCTTGAATCGGAGCTGGATCGTGAACGATACCTTGATCTACCAGCACCGTCCGACGAACAAGGTAAATCATCAGCCTCTATAAGATTTTTGTGTGCTTTAGGAGGAGTAGCTTGGGTTTACTTTTTGAAATAAAAATATGAAGTATTTATGATTTGGTAATTAGTTGAAAGTTTCAATTTTAGTGGCGATTAAGAATGTAACTGGAAGGTCTGGTATTATATTAAAATAGAGGGATGCAAGGATCTTAGAGTCCATCTGGCTGTGATTATGAATAATGTTTTGGTGAATTCCCGTTCTTGTAAGCTTGGGTCTAGAATGCCTTATTCAGCCGTGCATTATTTTCTCACATGTTGCTAGGCTTCACCTAAAGATTTGGGCCTCAAGCTTATGTGAGCTCAAGGTTTGTAATTAAAACACTTTGTTTATTGCTATCTGTTCTTATTAAAAGGAGGGTTTTTTCTGGCAAATTTCTGTGATTTTAAGACACATAATGATCAAGTCATATATGTTCTATCTAGCTCTCTGGCAGAAACGGTTAGATGACATGATGATGTTATTCATTGGCATTTAATGGGGCTTCGTTAACTTTTTAGAAACATTAACAGTTAATATGCATTGGCAACTACAAAAAAATATAAGATACTTTGGCAGCTGAATTCCATATGAAATGGTGTGTCAGTGTGAAAATGGTATTTTGAGGTAAGAGTTGTCTTTGGAGGAAAATTTTCCATTTTGAAGTCTCCTTTTAAATAATGGGAGCTCAGGTTTTAGTTTGCGTCAATTATAAGGATATCTAGTTTCCGAAAATTGCATCTCCAAGAGACTAGTAAGATTATTCAACTTTATTCTTACATATTCCTATTATTTTCTTATTGTCTTCTATGGTAGTTCTTTTAAGGGTAAAGTGCAAAAAAAAAACCTTGAAGTATGCCTCATTTGCACATAACCCCTGAACTACAATAAACCCCCTTGAACTATTGAATTGTTGCAAATTGCCCAGTCCGGTCAGATGCCGTTGCCAGAAGTGTAGAAAGACAATTTTACCCTTAAATCAAAACTACACTGTTTTGAGAATTAATTACTCTAAGTAGATGATATCAGCTTAGCAATATAATTAATCAATCATAGAGTGACAACACACAACCTTATCATAGTTGTACAAGTCAAATAACTCCATATCATCACCACAGTAAACCCATTCAGAAAGCCAAACAACTCCATCTCTATCACCATCGCCATCGCCTCTGCCACTGAGAACCCATTCGTTGGACGATCGAAACCAACTCCTTCACCTTCCTCCCCTCAGCACACCCCGATGAATTGTCATAAGATTAGACTACCTCGCTCACCATCAATCTTTGCAGCAAAAAGACACTAGTGACAGAGCACTTCCTTTTCAAACCAGATAAAAAAAAAAAAAAAAAAAAAATTCGCCACTCTTCAACATGAATAAATTTTAGTATCCTCCATGTCTAAACACAGTCCACTTGGTGATGATTTCATCGCTATTGGTGTTGTAGGTGTACTGACCCAGATTGATCGGTGTTGGTGTTGTAAAAGAACTCTCTTTGGTTAATAGCAGAGACAAAAAATAAATAAATAAATAAAAATAATAGCAGAAGAAACAACATTTTTCTCTCTCTAAAAGAAGTTTACACAGAGCCTCTCACAATCTCCGCCTAGATCGCCGTCGTCCCTATGAGGCAATTGATGGTGGCGAAGCTGAGTCGCTGCGTGTTCTTGAAGGGTATGTGGTGGGAGTTTATGTTTAATCTTGGGCCGTTCAATGTGAAAGAGCATGTGCTTATCACTATATTTGCAAACTCTGGTGCGGGAACTGTTTATGCCATTCACGTGGTTATGCTCTCTCCGACTTCCAAGTTTGGTCAATCACCACCACTGCACTTCCACCACCGAAATGGAATCACCCAATGGAACCACAATCTTGGAAACTCAAGTAATTAATCACAAACCACACCAACCATCCATACATTATAAACCCAACTGAACCCCACAACCCCACTGCCGCCAACACCATCATCGCCACCAACCCACCACCGAATTAAACCACCCAATCGAACCACGATCTTGGAAACTCAGATAATTCATACTCAACCACATAACCGAGTCCAACATCCATACATAATGAACCCAATTGAACCCCCCACCACCCCCCAACTTCTGCCACCTCAACGTCAGCCTGGTCCACATGCCACCACCTCAACATCCACGGAGAGGTATGAAGTTGATTTGTTAAAGACATGTTCAACCCATTTCAATTTGGATTTTAAAAAAAATTGGGTTAGGGTTCGATCATGTGTTTGAGATGATCTGAGAAAGAGACATTGTTTGGTGGTAAGGGTTAAGATATGTTCACAAGAGGGGCATTATAATATTTTTATATTCATAAGGACATTATGGTCAATTAATTTTATATTGTCTATCATGTGACAATCACGTGTTCATTTACCGGTAATATATGAATGGAAGATGGCTGGACTGGGCAATTTGCAACTAAAGTGGTTAGTTTAGGGGGTTTTCTGCCACTTTAGTAGTTCAAGGAGGTTTCTTGCTAATTGAGGCATAGTTGAAGGGGTTTTTTTTGCACTTTACCCTTCTTTTAATTGTTATGCACCTAATCTTAAATTTATACAATCATGGGTAAATTCGTCATTTCAAATCTTTGTTCCAATATACAGAATTTGATGAGGGTGCGAAACCGGTTGATGGTGGTGGTTATCATAGTGTTGCCTTTTCGTATGGAAACACTGGGAATTCAACTGATCAAAAGAATGCTGATGCTGGGTTAGGAGATTCTGGTTTCCATCCACCTTTCGCTGTGCCTGATAGCTTACTCCAAAGCCTGGTAAGTACATGATGTCCAATTCCTTACCTTGTGCATAATAATTTCCATTGCATATTGTTTTTTGTTTGCTAACCGTGATTATCTGTCGTGGCCAAATGAAAATGTGTGAAGTGTATATATTATTCTAAGCCTTATAATGTCTAAGTTTTCAGATGCTCGCAGCAGTGATGGAGTTCCTGTTACCTTAGGTTGCCATTCACAGGCACCTTGTTTCGATTTTGATGTCATGTCCTGGGGGCAGTGCAGGTGGGATAGGATAATAAGATTTTCATTATTTTAACAGGAATATTCATCATAACTACTTGAGAGTTCGATGACATATCTTCATAAAGTTCAGTTTCTTGATCATTATGGTAATCCAAATATATTTGATATTTATTGGGTTTAACTCGGATTTAGTATTATTCTTATATTTATATGTTTGGTTTTTGGCTATTTGGAAATTTCACTTTTTTGAGAAAGAGGCCTTTTTTCTTGTCTGTTTTTCAGCCTCCAACAGAGAAGCTACATCAGATAATTGCAAGGACTGCTACGTTTGTCAGCAAACATGGTGGGCAGTCGGAAATTGTTCTGAGGGTTAAACAGGGAGACAACCCGACGTTTGGGTTCTTGATGCCTGACCATCACCTTCATGCGTACTTTAGGTTTCTTGTTGATAACCAAGAACTCTTGCAGTCTGACATTGATGGAAAACTGCAAAATGAGAAAGCCGATACTGAGCACAATCAGACAGATGATGCTGGAGGTGGAGCGTTGTCCTTGCTTGGTTCTGTGTATGGATATGGGGAAGATGAGGATGGCGGTGAGGAAGGCCAGAAATCTAAAGAAAACATATCCGGGGAAACCTTTGATGCTGTTAGTGTAGCAGTTTCTCATGGTTCAGATGAAACAAACTTTTCAGCGAATGCAGCTGGAAAAGATGAGTCAGCTTCCAAGCTTCAACTTCATTCTAAAGAAAAGCTTTTTGCATTGACAAAGAATTCCTTTATCAGTGCACCTAAGGCTGGAACTACATGTACCACGAAAAAAGGTGACATTCTTGGTTCGCTTTGTGCTGCTATAGATAAGTCGCAAGCTTCTGCCATACCGACCATTCCTAAGGTTGAACAATTGGTTTTGGAGCCTTCAGCGGATTTAAAAAGATTGATTGATAAGATAGTTGAATTCATTCTGAAAAATGGGAAGCGGTTTGAGGCGGTACTTATGGAACAGGACAGTGAACATGGAAGATTTCCATTCCTTCTGCCTTCTAATAAGTATCATCCGTACTATCTAAAAGTTCTCCAGAAAGCCCAAGAGGTGATTTTCTCTATAATCTTGTATTACTTTTTGGTAATTATTGGTCACTATCTTCTTGATGTTCTTGTTGTCAAGAAATGGGATGTTAACCTCAACGGTTTGGCATATGCTTTAAAGAAGGAAGACCATTGTGTGATAGTGTTTTAGTATAAATGCTTATAGAAGTCATGGTATTCTTCTACTAAGCATAAATTCTGGCTCTCAAGCTGCACTATGCTATATCGATTGATTATGTACTTTTAATTGCTTTGTAGATTGTAAGTTGTGTCATTGTGTTGGATGTTGACACGGGAATTTATTTTTATTCATAACAATATTTACAACCTGTTTGGACATTTTGTTGCCATATCACTAAATCCAAAAGCTTAGATTCACGCTCTTAAGTTTCCAATGCTCGATTTTTACCTAATTTAAGAGTTCTTATGTTAGTCTCATCATATCATGTCCTGATAGTCAACTGGTTCATGGATATTTTTTTCCTTCCCCTGTTACTTTATTTTGTGTATATGTTAGCATCAACCATATTGCATTAGTGATTTTTGGTCTAATGAAGATTCCTGGTGGCATTTTTAATGTTACACATCTCTAAAGCACAGTCACAACCCCAGGATGTGCCTTCCCCGTATCAAACATGTGTCCAACACAAACACGCGTGTTCAAGGGCCAGATAGCGGATAGCGTCCAACGACTCCAACGCTCCTTGTTCTGGAGTTTGGTTTAAATTTTTTTTGGCTGGACACGGTGGGGACAAAGCTTGGACACGTAAAGGATACATCTATGACACATTTGGGACGCAATAGTGTATTTTTCGGAATTATCTTTTTAAAAGAGGAGCAAAAATAACGTAATTTCATGACTAGAAAGAAATTACAATCATATGAAAAGCCAATTTTTATTAATCTACAGACATCGAAAAATGGGACTAAATTACAAATATATGAAATTTTGCTACTTGTCCCTTTCCTTTATCTTTTTATTTCCTATTTTTTCGTAACATTATATGAGTGCACTATTCTTTTATAAATAATAAATGTACTAACCTTTTTAAAAGGTTTTTCAAAATATTTTGCATTATTTTGGAAGTTCCTCACGCATTTCTTTTCAAGTTTTACGTTATTTTGCGTCAACTGATTTTTTCCCCCCTAGTTTATGTAGTCAAATTTAACTGTATACTGGTGTTATTCACAGCTTTATTTATTGTAATATTTTACTCTATCCTATTTAACAATACATATAACACATATTTTACGTATTAGATTTGGTGAGCTGCATAATTTTTCTTATTCCTTATCTGTTGTTGATATCTTTCTCTACTTTGTTTACAGTCAAAATTAACTAGCTTATTTTCCAAGAATGATGACTTGGTAGCGCATGGGCCAGACAGGAAAACTTCTCAATCCGAGGAAAGTGATTCTTTACCTTCAGGATCTGGTTTTGATGTGCCATATGATTCTGACAGGAAAGAGAAGTTTAAGATGGTAATTGGGAAGCCAAAGAAGGATGGACAGGATCCACCTTCCAAAGCTACTCAGCAACAATTTGGAGTTCAAATAGATGCAGCTTCAGCTGCAGCTATTCTTCAGGCTGCAACAAAAGGCATTAGGTATCCAAATTTGGGAATTCTTTCAAGCACATATGGTGAGGGTGGGCGGGTCTCAAGCTCTGGCAGTCAACTTTTACCTCGACCCGAGTGCGTTGTCGAAAAATCTGATCAGAATGGTGACCACAGTTTTTCTGCACCTGTTACTCGTGATATTGCAAAGACTGCTTCTCTTGAAGCTGTTTGTGAGGCCGACTCCTCTGAAGCAAACCTGAATAGAGAGCAGAAGCTGAAGGCTGAGAGGTTGAAACGGGCAAAGATGTTTGCAGCCATGTGGAAAACTGGAGCAGAACCATTAAAAACTTTACCACTGCGGGGCATTTCAGTAGAACCACAAGAATCAGGAGTTTCTGGTTCTGGTGCTGAGGTTGTTAACCTCGAGATCAAAGAAAGAGAAGGCAGCTCGGTTCCCTTAGATGTTGATGCTGAAGACAAAATTGAGAAGCCTGAAAGGAAATATTCTGATGACGAGTACAATGAACGGAGATTAAAGAGGAAGTACAGAATGAGATCTCAGAGAGATGATGATGATGATGATGTTGAAGATGAGGATGAAGAGGGAAATGATGAAAAGCGCTCAGTGAAGAAGCATCGGTCTCATCATTCTTCTCATAAAGATTACAAAAAAGAAGTATTTGAGAAGGAAATTGATCACAAGCACTCCAGGAAAAAGCACCGTTCTCATCATTCCTCGTGTGAAGATGAAGAGGAAAGGGATCACAAGCAGTCAAGGAAAAAACACCGGTCTGATCGTTATTCGTGTGAAGAAGAAGAAGAAATGGATCTAGACTATTCTAGGAAGAAGCAACCGTCTTATCGATCTTCACATGAAGAAGCTGACAGAGAAGAGGAAGAAGAAATAGATGGTAAACACTCAAGGAAGAAGCACAGGTCTCACCGTTCTTCACACCACAGTAGAGACAGGCACAAGCACAGAAGACGACATTCTTCTTCAAAGGAAATAGAATCTCGACAGCGGCACAAGCATGATAGCTCTTCTGATGATGAGCAGCGCCAGAAACGTAGTGGATCTAATAAGCACAAAAACAAATCTCTTTCAGACAAAGAAGAGTTGGAGGAAGGGGAGATCAGTTCCAAAATTTCAGACAATGGTGCTATTAGAGAAGGATCTTTGGACTCGTCGAATTCATGTCGTACTGTGAGGGTGCCATCTCAGCCCTCTGAAGCTACTGAGGTTTCTGATGATCTCAGGGCTAAAATTCGAGCAATGTTGATGGCGACCTTGTAAGAAGTACCATATTTTTAGTCTCTTGTATTGTAATAATTATTTGAACTCTGGCAAATTAATTTGTTCGGGTGTTGAGATTTATTCCTTTCAAATCCCTTGTAGGCTCCTTTTGGTTCGTCCCATATAGGGAAAGGAAAAGGAAAAGATAAAAGGAAATGGCAAGGGGAAATAATCATTCTTAGTTTGAATGGCATAAATTATCTGCACTTTTTTTTTTTTTTTTTTTTTTCTTCAATAAATGTTATTTTGCACAATGTTACCACCTTATACTCGAACACAATTTAACAGAAACAAGAGCGTTAAACGCTATTAAATATATTTAGATAATTCAAATGCAATAGCTATTAAAACCTACAGGAAACATGACTGTACAAGCATCTATCAATGACCATTCCATTCAAAGCTTTAAAAGATATAGCTGCGGAGAACAAAATATCCCTATGCACATATTTTTCACTAGTCATGAAAACTGCAAACAACAAAACCTTGAATGTCAATACCTTCTTTAGCAAACAACAAAACTTAGAAAACTGCCAACGCCTCTTGTCAGTGGGCAAATAATGCAGCAATAACTATACTAAAAACCAGACAATAATATTGTCCTCAAGCTCAGGACGGATCTAGAAATTTATATGAGGGGTAACAAATTTACATAGAAGGGTTTTTTCATAATTTCAGTCAAGGGCGGATTTAGGATTTCTCGTTGGGATGGGCTAATATTAAACATAAATTTAATAACAAAATTTAATAAGGAAAATAATAATAATAATATAATATAGATAAATATTTAAATTCAAAGATTACAAAATATCTATCTAAATTGTGTTTGCTGATTCTTTAAAGACTCGATTTGTCAATAATAGACTCCAAGTCAATTTTCCGAACAAGCTCCCCGTTCAAGATTGATGGTCATGCAGTCAGCAAGAAATTCATCTTCAATCCTGCTACGCATCGCTGTTTTAACACATTTCATGCTTGGGTGGGAGGCTGAGGTAGGCTAATACTATATATATATATATTGGGATGGGCTAATATTAGTATAGTAAAAATTCTTTTCTTTTTTTTTTTTGGGGGTGGTCTACAGCCTACCTTTGCCCACCCCTCTGTCCGCCTTTGATTTCAGTGGGGGCAATTTCAAAACTTTATGGGTATAAATGTAAAAAAGTATAAATTTAAGGATATAAAATGCAATAATATAAAATTTCAATGGGGGCGGATGCCCCCATCGAGGCCTTCACAAATCCGTGCCTGTTCAAGCTCATCAATATTCATCAGAAATATTTATGAAAAAAAAATTGTTCATTAGAAATTAAGAATAGCTGTCATATTGTGAGCAAAAAATCCGCGAATCCGTGAATCCAATCCGATTCATACGGATTAGATCAGATTGTCAGTCTCACGGATCAGTGGCGCATTCAAAAAAATTGAATCCGTAGTCCCACGGATCGGTGGCGGATTAGGCTGTCAAAAATCCGATCCAGTCCGTGAATTCGATCCGTAGCCAATCCATTATATATATATATATAATATTAATATTATAGTAATATCTTTACTCTTTGGTAACTAGCATATATATATGAACTCCTAACATACTGTTCTTTCTCGGTTTTTTAGTTTTAGGAAAATGATAAGGGGGCCGAAGGGTAACCCTTAAAAAACGATCGAATCTAACGTGGCTTGGCACGTCAGATTCTCTAAAATTTCTCTAAAACTACTTACGCATGAAAAGTAAAAAAGCCATCACGTGCTTAGCTCACCCCTAAAATAAATTGAAAAAAAAAAAAAATTTTGTTTGAGAAGGTAATGTAGCGATAAACACTGTGAAGATGATAGAAAGAAGGTGGGTATATACAAATAGAAATATATATACACACAAAATTATATATATGTTAGTAATAGATTATAAATATTTAAAGATTTTTTTCTACAAATTTCTCAATAGATTTAGGTATTACTCAATGATCTAATTTTAAGAATTACATAATCATCTTATATTCGAATCACGCACAAAAATTCGGGAGTATTTACAACATCACTATTTGATTCGGGATTGGCTCTTTCTCTCTATCTAGGGTTTTGAATAAGTTTTCTTCTCCAGCAGCAATTCAATTGGTACAGTGGTTTAATTTGATATATTTTGTCAGTGTAAATTCTAAAATATATCAATTATGAAAAAAAATATTCTAAAAGATACTACATAACAAAATAAAGATAAGTCGATTCCTTAAAAAAAAAAAAAAAAAAAGGGATAAGTTTTCTCTAATTCTGCAGACTACGGAGCTTTTCGGTATTCCTTTTACACGATCACCTTCCCACCCACCCTTTTTTTTTTTACCTACACGTGATGGACTCTTTTGCTCTCTTACACAAAAAAAAGTGAGAATTTGACGTGGCGTCAGATTCAGTGATTAATTCGGAGGATACCTTTCGGTTCCTCTATCACTACTCTTACTTTTATAATATTTATTACTCAATCAATAGCAGTGGAACACATACTTTTCATTTAATCAAAACCTAAACCTAGCCAAAGATGAAAGAACTCAAAGTACTAAAGAAGAGCATAGAGAAAAGCAGTTGCCTCACCTATTATGCATTTAAATTTATCTATGTTCTGTTATACTGCTTTGTAAATGGATATGAAATTGGTGCAAATAGACTATTTTGAAAAATTCAGTCCACGGATTGAATCCGATTCGATCCGTTATTTCATGAATCCGATCTGATTTGATCCGTTGGCTAACGGATTGGTGGCGGATTCAAAATCTCCCAATCCGTTGCGAGCGAATCGGATTAGAATTAATGCCTAATCCGATCAGATCCGATCCGTGGCCACCCCTAACCATACATAACATTGTTACATGAAATTCTTACAATCAAAATAAATAAATGAAAATTGTAATGATAAGAATGTGAAAAGAGGACACTTCTACACTTTGAAAGGCAAGAATATTAAATGAATTAGTGATTCGTTAATTTTAGTGACAGGTTAATTTAAGAAAGAATAACTCAATCTGAGAAAAAGTGTAGCAATACGATATATGGCAATTTCAACATTCAGGAGCAATGTATTTCAGGTATGAAGTTTTTGGTTAATTTAATCAGCAACAACGTAAAAGATCTAGGAACCAACCACCACACATGCGTGTACATAACTTTGTCAAAGAGTTAATCAAGCTTTTAACTCTAATATAGTACTACGTTTGCAATGCAAAAGACTACAGTGATCAATTTTATATGAGCAACATATTTCCTCTTTGTTCCACCTTAAGCGTATTTAAGTTTTTAATTCACGGATTACCAAAACAATCATCTTTCGCATTACAAGAAATATGAACAAGCAATCTTTTAATCCGGACAAACCAAGAATATTAAAATTCTAAATATTAGTTTATGAATTAACAATGGTAGCTTTGTAGTTTTTAAGATTATATTTTCAGAAAATTCAATAAAACATCTTTAATTTTTTCAGCAAATTTATAGAATATAGATAGTACATACGCTGAAAAAAAATAAAAATAATAACAAAAACAAAACAGTCATTTATAGCAGCAAATCCAAGGACCAACTAAGGGACTGTTAACACCAAAAAGAGAGTTGGAGCCAAAAAAAAAATTCACAAGAGGATATAAAAAAGTCCAGCCGCACACAGGCTTTTTAACATTCAGCAAGTTCATCAATGTGACTGCAAACATTAATTACGCCAGGAACTCTCAATTTTAACTATTATATAATCCTTCCAATTAGTTAAATTGTTTTTATTATCTAGGCTGTAATTGGTCAGGACCGTGATTACTAAAAATCTATTACTAGTTACTACTATTACAAATGCAGATAAGTGATTTTTCTATTGTTTGGACAGTTAAATGAAATTACAGTTATTCTATTTCCTATTATCCGGTAAATTAATCTGGACAAGCTCCGACAACCGAATTATCATCAAATTAAAAAGATAAAAAAAACATGAATACAACTTAATTCCTTTTACTCTGAGGTATATATGAGACAATGCTTTCCTCTCTTCCTTTACCTTTTTCTTTTTATTTTTTTCCCTAACATGCGCGCACCACATTCATGCACTTAGCTAGGTAGTAACTGAAAGAGATAACAAGGGTTAGTTTCAAGTATCTGACCACAGTTTTTTGAAAAGTGTGTGCGATTGTGTGTGTGTGTGTGTATGGTTGCCTCATGAATCATGATCTCTTGAATCTCCCCTGTATATGGATGAAAGCTAACAAAGATATACATTAAAAAAACCAGTGGGCGGGCTAGAGGGACCCAAAGAACTAATCCAACTATATTCCTTACCCAAACGATGCAAAAAGGCCATGAAAGGTGTTTGGCGGTGAAGAAAAAAAAAAAGCAGCTTTAAATTCATTGGCTTTGCTTGCAGGTGACGTATGTTCAGAGCTCGCTCCATGAAGCCTCATCACCCCCACCTCTTCTCTCTCCAACTTTAACACCAATAAACTTTTTGTGTGGAGATAGGATTAGGATATATATGCATATATATATAGTTGTGTTCTCTTTCTTTACAGATAACCCACCTGTGAGTAGGAATTAGTATCTCTTTTTCTTTGTAGTGTCATGTTGCTACTCGTTAACTTTGCTTTCATCCCTCCCACTCTATGTTGTCAAATTAATTTAAATTATAGTATATATTTAGTGTAATGGTATAATATTTTATATCATTAATTAATTAAATGAAATGACCAAGGTATTACTGTTAGTATGTTACATTAAAAACTGATTAAAATAAAATTTTATTAGCTTTATACTTGATATTGGTTTTGTATTTGCACTAAGGGTACAACAACTTGAATACAGTCCCATTTTTACGAGTTTGGACAATCATTTTATTAATTAGGGTTGGGTCTGAGTTAAAAAAATTTAACCAGAACTTCATTAAGGAAGGTCAAAGTAATAAATATTGAATGATTTATTTATATGTGATTTTTTCAAACTTCAAGGGAGGTCAATGTAATTTATCATTGTTTAAATCTTAATATATTGTATGTTAACATTTTGGAGAATTAATTTCTTAAAAATTTGTTTGTAATTTTTTTTTCAAAAATTTGCATTAATTTATAAAATATAAAGTTTGTGTTTGGTAGTAATTTAATCTGAAACTAAATTAATATCACGTTAAAATTTCAATTAGGAGATTAACCATGTAGTCAAGTTCAAAAAAAACTCATATTGTATGCACATGCCTAAAGTTTAAATTTGCACAAATAGGTTTCTCTTGAGTCTTGACCCATTTAAGATAGAGTTTGTCTAAATTGTCCTTATATACACATTTTCTAAATTATTAAAAAATATATTTTTTATGAAATAACGAAAATGATCACAAAGTGAAATGACCTCATTTAACACAGGGTGTGATATTCACTCTAAACATACTATATACATTCATACACTTTATCCTAAGAACTATTGTTATTTTGAATTCGAACACTCATTTTTTGCTATGTAAAGAATTATATATATATATATATATATATATTTATCTCTATTTGATTTGTAAAAGAAATAGGTATATTAAAACTTTCTAAATTATGAGTAGTATTAAGTTCTAGAAAATATATAACTCTCAACTCACAAAGAGATAATACATTGTTAGGAAAAATATATAGAGACAAATTTTTTATTATTATTTTTGGAAATGTGGAAGAAAAATCCTTTAAAATGGGCACATAATACTCTTATAGTATGAGATTAGTAGCATACACACTCCGTTGGGTATTTTCAGAAGAGTAAAAAGACAAAACAGACATTATAACATTACTTTATGTTAGATTTTTATTTTATGAAATAAAAGGGTATATATTAAAGATATCATCCGCACTTGACCCATTAACCATGCGTATAAATAATTCAAATTAATTCAACTTTTTAATCTGAAATCTTAATTTGAGTTACAAAAGTGAGTTTAAATAAAAAAATGAGTTGGAATTGAATTAAATAATTAAGGCTGAAAGTAGAATTAAGAATGAGTTAGAATTAAACTCTTCATACGAAGGAATGGACCTGAGTTTTACCCCCAAACCACCCAATCTAAATTTGCACATATATCGTGAATCCTAAGAATAGTTTATGGAAACTTAAATCATTAGGAATCACAAAAGAAAAACAGGAAGTAATTACCTTTTGTTTTCTTACCAAACGATGCCAAACTTATGGAATTAAAAAGTGTCACAATCATATATTCTAATGTCACATGGCTTTCAAAATACTCTGTACCTCCAAAACTCCAACTCACGAACCCCCAGTAACTAATTCAACAAGTTAAAACCTTTGAAATAGTGTTTTCTTGCAATAACAAAAAACGCGCCGCAATACAACGACCGTGAGAACCCGCAAATATCACAATGACGATTGACGGCACGTGCTCACGTGTCCTCATGTGAACGGCTTTATTCACATCCAAGAAACCGCCGCCCAGAGTCGGCCAAAGCTGTCAACCCTTCCCTTCCTTTGCCACGTGGTTCACTCACAACTCAAGCAATCCCCCCTCTCTACCCATATTTTAGAGAGAGAAACCCCCATAGTTAAAGTTAGAGAGAGAAACAACTAGCTTAGCTTAGAGGGCCGTCATTGGACAGCAACAATAGCAAGAAAGATTCTTTGCATAAAGACACCCAATAGAGCCATAACACCCACCCAAAAGCATATGACACACTATTTGCACAACATAGACGGACTTGGACCATATAAATATACACCCAGCACAAACCAACTCTTACCAAAAAAAAAACAAACCCAAAAAAAAAAAAAACTTCTCCTCTTCTCCTCTCCTCTGTGCCATCTCTCCAATGGAGTGGACCAGAGGATCCGTCATCGGCCGCGGCGCCTCGGCCACCGTCTCTCTAGCTACCACCGTCTCCGGTGATCTATTCGCGGTCAAGTCCACTAACCTTTCTTGTTCGAGCTCCTTGCAATTGGAAAATCATTTTCTTTCTCAACTAAACTCTCCTTACATAGTTAAGTACATGGGCTTCGACATTACATGCGAAAGCAACCAGCCCATGTACAATCTTTTCATGGAGTACGCACCCGGCGGCACACTTTTCGATGCAATCAAGAGGCATGGAGGCTCTCTGGATGAACCCATGATCCGATTTTATACAAGTCATGTAGTGCAAGGTTTGGATTACCTTCATTTGAATGGATTGGTTCATTGTGACATCAAGGGTCAAAATATTTTGATTGGCAAAGATGGTGCCAAGATTGGTGATTTGGGTTGTGCTAGGTTCGTGGAAGATGGGGGTGTTGCTAAGGGGATGTTTGCCGGTACACCGGTGTTTATGGCGCCCGAGGTTGCTCGCGGCGAAGAACAGGGGTTCCCAGCTGATGTATGGGCTCTCGGGTGCACAATTATTGAGATGGCTACAGGGTCTAACCCCTGGCCGGAGGTGAATGATCCGGTGTCGGCACTTTATCGAATTGGGTTTTCCGGCGACGTGCCGGAGTTTCCGAGGTGGTTGTCAGAGGATGCAAAGGATTTCTTGAGCAAGTGTTTGAAGATAGATTCGAAAGAAAGGTGGACTGCTAAACAACTTCTTCAACACCCATTTCTACACGATTTGGAAATGAGTTCTGAGAAATTAAGAGAATTTAATAAGAATTCTCCGATTGATGTACTTGATCAATGCTTCTGGGATTCTCTGGAGCTGTTGGAAGACTCGGAACCTCACCGGAATCTTACCCACATGGGTTCCTCTTCCAATCTTCCTGCGGAGAGAATCAGGCGTCTGATTGGTGGTACTTCTTCATTAGGTTCAAATCTACCCAATTGGAGTTGGGACGAAGATTGGATTACAGTCAGAAGCAATCAGATTGAGGAAAACATCAAATTTTCCGAGGAGAATCGCAATATGAATACAGATGATAGAGAGTTAATGAATACAGAATTGTTCATGTCTTCAATTGTACTCGTAGAAGAGGTTGATTATTCAATAGTTGTTGAGGATTTGTTACTAGAATGCTACATTTTCAGGATTAGTACTATTGATGGTCTTAGTGATAGGATAGATTTTGTGATGTCCTGTGAAAGTACTAAAACATGTTTTTGTGTAATGTCTTCTAAATTTAGGAAATTAATGAAATTTTATTGTTCATTTCATGCTATCGCTAAAATATGTTTTTGTGTGATGAATTCTAAATTTAGGAAATTAATGAAAATTTATTGTTTAACTCATTCTCTCTCTTTCTCTCCGAGGCTGTGTCTCTGTGTGCTCTGTTCTGTTCTGTTCTGTTACAGAGGGGCATGACTTTGGACAGAGTCAAGTCTATCTAACAAGTAAAACTATCCTAATTTTTGTGTTCATACTTTTGTGTGTGAACACAAGGGACTTTAGATGTGGAATTGGTAAAGTCAATCCTTTTGGGCTCTCTTCATTGATTAACTTGTTGGTTGATAGATTGAAATAGGGTCAACAAACTCCGGTCTTTCTTTTTTCTTAAAGAAACAGTTTGTTTTGGCCACGTACTATTTAAGGTTGACATTGTAGTATCTCTCTCTAGACAACCACTAGTTAGGTCACTTCCAATTGCCCAATTTGAGATGAGGGAGTACACCTATTTGGAATGTGGGCAGGTTCTTTAGATCCTACCAACCAAAACAGCTAATTTTGAGGAAATATGTACACTAAAGACGTGTTTAGAAATATCAAATTGATGTCTTGAAACTAGAATCAAAAAATTTAAGTTCAAATTTTTAACTCAATTTTCCCTAATTTTAATTTTAAAACATAAGATGATTCAATTATATATCTTGGTGATAAAAAAAATGATAAACTTGTTATCTCTAGTGACCATGGTGATAGAGTCACCATACTTTGTAGAAGTATAATCAGATTCACATTCTTAAGAACCAAGTTTAGTGGTTTAAAAGGTTAGTGCACCCTCATTTTAGCACCATCTTGTGGGAATCCCATGTATTTTCCAGTCATAAGTTCAAAAATTGTATGATGCATGGTAGATTTCAATCTCTTATTTGACCAAATATTTTCTTTCACACTTAGTGGGCAAATAGGTTATTATTCTCTTTTTTAATCTCCTCTTCTTATGTCATGTATGATGCTGGGATGATGTATGTCTTATGTTGGTCGTGCACGATGATGGTGTAATGATGTCTGGTTGAGATGAGTGGGAAAACCCTGTAAAAAAAAATTTGGCCAACTCATATGTCCATGTGAAAATTTGAATTCTCACCTTTTGTGAAACAAAAATTCTACTTGATTTAATTAACATTTATAAAAAATTCTGTTTTCAGATAATTACAAAAGAAAAAAATAATTTTTTGTTATCTGAATTTAAGAAATGTTTTCAGAGTATTTTCATTGTTCTTCTCATTTTATATACTTAAGGAAATATCAAATATTTTTAAATGTAAATAATCTCTTAAATCTTCTATTATATATAATATATATATTTTATTGCCATACTAGTTTGATTTTTGTATCTTTTATTATTAAATTGGCCTCTTCAAGTGAAAAATCCTAGGTCTGCCCCTTGATCATGTAATTGTTGCTTCTATGTAAGGAGATCATTATTCATTGTTACACGATGGTAGCAATATAACATTGTAAGTCCTCAGAATGAGAAACACAGGATATTCCATTTCTGTTGAATATATAAATCAATGTATGCAAAATTCTCTTGTAATTCTTGAAGAGAGTGAAGGACGATATTTTCAAAAATTAGTAAATCATGAAGAAGGAAGCAAATTTTATCTAAATTGCAGAAGACTATGCAGTCAATTCATATATAGGCCTTTTGGATCACACAATCATAATAAACAAAACAAATCCATGAAAAACATGCAAGTTTATTTATTTATTTATTTTGCCTTAAATTAATTGACCTGCGAGGTAACGGTCCACCAGGGAAATTATGACCAGAAGGAGATTGTTTCTCTTCTAATCTGGAAGCTTATAATGACTTTGAACAAAGTCTATCCAACAAGTCAACCTCTCTTGTCTTTTTGTGTTGACTTTGTGTTTGTGTATGAACATTGGAGACTTTGGGTGTAGTGGAGAACTAGAAGGGTCAATATTTTTGGGCTGTCTCTCTATGTTCATTGTTTATGTTGTAGGTTGATGAATTGGAAGGGAGTCAACAAACCCTAGTCTTGTTTTTCACCTAAGCCGGTTAGATTTGGTGACAGTCCATTTGGGGTTGGCATTGGACAATTGGAGGTTGGTTTCTCAAGACAATCGACAGTTAGGTCACTTGGTTGTTACAATACCACTTACTTGGAATGTAGTAGGCATGTGTTGTTTAGCTATTACCAAATCTTAAAAACCAAACCAAACCAGCTAGGTCAATTATTGAGTGAAAATGACAAGCTTGTTCTTATCATCATTCAAATTAATACTTTTACTACAAGAAGTGACAAATATCTTGAATGAAAAAGTACTTAATGTGAACAAGTAACTAAGGTGATATTAAACTTTGAATATAAGGAAATAATAAATGACATAGCTCTATAATTCGAGATAGACATCACGAAATAAATTTTGTGACGTTTTTTCAACTGCGACTGGATGGATGGTCCCAATTGAATTTCAAACTTCTCATTTTAGGCACCATCATGTGCAAATCCGATGTATATTTAGGTGAAAAGTTCAGAAATCTATCATGCATAGTAGATTTCATTGGCAATCTTAAGTGAGGGTACAATCATTCTATTTAGAGATCATTAATCAAATCAATTAATGTAACACTCCATTGTGATTTTTGGAGACCAAGGCTATGTTTGGTATAATGGAAAAGAAAGAAAGGATACGATTAATTATGAAATAAAAACAAAGAAAGCAAAGGAGAGGATCTACTTAATTACTTATCTTGTTTGGTTGATTGATTAATAAAGGAAAAAAAGAAAAGAAAAGAAAATTATAGTAATCTTGTTGGGGGAAAGAAAAAAAAGGAAAAGAAAATATTGTAATGAATTTACTACCATACCATTTTTCATAGATTTTGTTTTTTTTATAAAAATAAGGGAAAATTTAGTATTAATAAAATTTCATTAAAAACAAAACTAACATTTCCTTTCCTTCCATTTTCTCCCATTTTTGGAAGGCTAACAAAACCAACACATCCTATATAATTTGTTTCCTTCCAAATCCCTCTGTTTTCTTTATTTTCTTTTAAAAATTCATACCAAACACAATAGAGTAAGTATTATGTATATACATAGAAATATACAAGTGACATATGATTTATTTAATCATCCATGTTCCGATCCCTTCATGTGTTGTTGATTTCACCCTTTGACAGCTTTGGGTTTTGCTTCCTTCATCTCCCTCTTGGATTCTGATTCGGGTTGCTTGTTCTTAGTCTTCACTGCAGGAATTTCTTTCTCAAAAGCATCCATTCCTCTGTTTTTCATGTCCTCCAAACTCTTTCTTAGCACATGTAGCTCTTTGATATAATAGTGTAGTCTATCTATCATCCCCGCAAGAAATAGGGAAAATCCTGCATCAAATTTTAATTCATAATCTATAAATCTTCATCCGGTCTTTTAAAAATAAATAAAGAATAATAATAATGTACAAAAGCAAAGTGGGAAAGTTATGTGATATAGCTGGTTCATGTCCTCCGTAAAAGCAGGATCAAACTAATACATAATGAAATTAGTGCAGCATCAGATGCGTTTTCTTCAATTGTTACTTCCTTTAAACAACTAAGTTCAATGCATTGGAACCAAAACCAACAATATTCAAACCATTTGGCACTTGGACAAAAAATAAAAAAAATAAATCACACACACACACGCATTGAAATAGAAGCAAAAATGAATTTGCCATGGATGTAAATAGAACTTTTTACCCATAAGCGACGCTTCGAGAAGATGATTTGCTTGAAGAATCTGATCGGTTGGATTAATTGGAGCACCATCCATAGTACGTTTCTGGATTTTGAGTAAACTATATAAGCTGGAGGCTAAAACCACAATCAAAGTACCGGCTACGGTCTGTGCCATTACAGGACCCCTCCCCTGCTTCACCCTATCCAAACCCATGATCAAAACATTCCTGAGAGGGGTTCTAAATAAAAGGGTCAGAATGAGAACCATTTCAGAGAATACGAGTGTAAACAGAAGTTGTATCATCTTTCTCGACTTGACCCCAAACACTATATCTTTTTGAGTCTAGGACAGGATGGTGCTAATAATCAAAGAGCATTGATATGGAAATGTATGGCAATAGAAAAGAAGAGAGGAAAGAATGGTAGAGCAATTACGAAAGGCAACTACTTTCTTTCACTTTTGTATCTCCATCCAAACTTCCAACACCTATTCTAAAACTTCTACTTTGGTTAAGGAATGACTCCCTTCACTGCCCTTCTAGATACCATCTTTTTTTTCTTTTCTTTTTTTTCTTTTTTTCATGGAGCTTTATCATTTTAGAATGTATTTTAAACGATAGTACGTTCTAGATAGCAATATTCTTAATTATTATCACACTATCTTCTTTTATCTTGAACTTATTTTTTTAATACAATTTAATTCAATTCTTACTCTTTTTTTGTAACATATATTTGCTTTCGCTTTTAATTTGAAGATGATCTGGTTGCAAAGGCAACAGATGCAGAACAGCCCATCCTCTCTCACTTCTAAGTTTTGTCGCTCTGTTGGGCTACTATGACCCACTATCTAGGGAGGAAAAGGTTGGACCTCGGCCCAATTCCCTTTTGCTCGTTTCATACGTAGTAAGATACTGTAAAGGTTAAGAGACAATCCCTCTAGTTGAGCCCACTTTTTAGCATGATGTGGTTCATGTTTTCTACTCCAATGTTGGCGCGTGGTTCCACTCCCCTGGAAAACGCGTGATGGTATATTTATCCCTTGCTACCTATATGTTAAAACATTATCCAAATTCTGTACCTATGGCATTACCAATCATAATAAAATTGCAGGAAAGGAAATAATTCCGAACTGGGCTTCAACTATGTGGTGCCTTCTTTCTCAATCTTCAATTCTTCCCTTGGTTTTGCAGCTCAAACACGGACAACCATTAGAGACACCTACACTATTTTGGCCCACCAGCTATGAACCCACTACGCCTCTGCATAGGCAAAACATTCCAACCGCAATTCATGTGAGTACCGAGGCCATCAACACTTCAATTGTTCTTGGTGTCACTGCACCAGCAGAATCCGGCGGTAACATAACTGTCTTACTTCAAACAAGGTTGGTTGGTTCTCTTCACTTCCAATTCAATTATATTTCTACGATTCTAACATGCTTTATTAGAAAGAATGATACAATAATATCAATATCAATGCTACAATAATATCAATGTTTCAATAATATCAATATTCGACCTGGTTAACAGTGCAGTTTTTCTCTTTGTGTACTGGATTGCCAACTTTGTGGTGCCGGATATCATCTCCAAGGATCTTCAGTTCGACAAGACCAGCGAAGACCAGAGAGCTAATGTTGATAATCTTACAGAGGATAAGAAATGAAGCGTCCGGGTATGGAGGCTCCAAACAGCACCAAGAGGCAGCAACACGAGTCCTTGGCAATTCAGAATCTTCTTCCGCTCTGTATACGCTTTGTTGTTGTCGTTGTCACTCAAAACTACATTGAAATTTTAGAACCCTAATCGGGATGTCACCACCTTAATGAAAGGTATTCCTGTGACATGCAATTTCACTGGAATCAATTCAACAATTAGAATGCAATTCATGGAGATCAAAAAAGGCCTTTCCATTTCTTCATTCTTTTGCAATCAAACGAGATACAATTCCAAACTAGGCAGTTCCTTTAGCTGGTTATTCAAAATAATCTACAATTGCCTGTGAGATCAATTAAATTTTGGGACAACTGTCCAATCATATTCATCCGGACAGCTGGGTTTTTCTTTTGGGTATGCAACGTCGGGTTTGGGAGGCTTCTTTGAAAAAATAGATGAGAATGATGGGCGTATCGAGTTTTCTTCTGAGTTGTTTTGGTTTCTTGATACTGGTTTTCCTGAGTGCCTATTCTTGCCTCCAAAGAAGAGGCTAAGCCTCCTAAAACGACGTTTTGGTTCACCTGCAGGAGTGCTTTCTTCTGGCTGTTTTAATATCTTTAGAACTTCATCTGGGTTCAGAAACATCGTCTCCACTGTTTCATACACCTACATCACAAGTTCAATTTAAGAATTTCAGAGGGTCATTAGAAGTACTGATTTACCATCACATCCTTGTTTACCTACATACAGTTAGGACACAGCTTCTTTATATAGGTATATAGATAAAGATTTTTAATTCAAACACATATTCAATACTTCTTAATACTCTAGCCGTGTAACGAATACCTCTGTATGTCTAGACACGTCAAATAGGTCTTGAAATTAAATGTACCAATTCTAGAAATAATATCATAGTATAATTGCGTTGGGGTGGCGGGGAGGAGGGGGGAATAGTTTCCCAGTACTTGGAATTTACTTTTAAAAGAAGAATTGAGATATAATAAGAAAATTTTATGTCTAATTTAGTCCAAAGTTTATATGCACACAAATTTTTTTTTTGATAAGTTTATATGCACATAAAATAACTCAGGACTTATTTGTATTCTAATTTTTTAAAAATTGTCATTTGCTTGTGTGTATTGTGTTCATATATCAATGCTTGTGCTTCATAGGTGAGTAGCAACATTTTTCATGATCAGATATCCAAACCAGCACATGCCAAATTAACCCAACTAAACAAGTTACAATATACAATCAGTTGAATAACCTACCTGGCATATATCATCGACTCTCTCTGTCCACATGCTGCCTTGACAAATTGTGACAACATAGTCTTTGCACTCACAGAACAGCTTTGACAAACTACTATCTGTGGGAAGTGAGGCCTCGGCTAATACAAATCCGGAACACAGCTGAAAATTGTAGAAGACAAGACATCATTAGCTTAAAGTTATAACTTGAAAAATATAGGTACCACTAGTTAATCCATATATTCACCAACTTAAAAATAATAACAATCATAATAAATAACAAAGATTATTTGTATTCCTTGTGAAACCCTGCCTATGTCATCACTCGAAATTTCTTGGCCCAATATTGGCCAACCCCCGAGCTACAAGGCCCAATGCGAGCCATGATTCATAATTGGAAGGAAAAAAAGAAAAAAAGCATGCACTGTGATAACAAGCACTGGCATGTTCCAGTTCCAAGTAATGGACATGAACTGAGAAAGCAGTGAAAGGTTGATGTATGGGGGTTAACTGAAGATATGGCTGTAAATAGAGTAGAATGGCAAAACAAATTTATGCATCCGGTCCCAAATAATCGTGACAATTTTTTTTTTTGAATTGAGCGCCACAAAAATTATGTTACGCAAATAGCATGACGCTAACCATTAAAGACTTCTGATGAATGCTGATGTAAATTTTACTGAGGTATCAAATATTTCATCTATTAAATGCCACCTGGCTGCCTAAACATAATGCTTGATTATTGTATGCAATACTAGTTAATAAATGCAGTCAGTACAGAGAAGAAACATTAATATACAAGTACTTGCAGGAAAATAAATGTTCGTTAATGAGCAGCATAAAATAAATTGCAGTAGAAGAAAGTGATCATTTTTCCATTTTTCTTTTTTCTTTTTTTTATATTAATTATTTTATTTTTTGTTTTGTTTTGTTGATAAGTAAAAGAGAGCACTTGTGACATGAAGATCCACTGGAGAACTTACAAGAGAGAGAAAAAGTTGTTCCAGAAGCTCAGAAGGTGGGATATCCTCTAAGACATTTAAAATACCTTCCCTATGGATTCAAAGCACCATGCAGATCTTGTCAGACAACTATTAAATTAAAAATTTCAAAGATAATGATATTAATTGAATTCTTCCTACTCACACAGCCAAATCCTCATCAAAGAGGGGTGCTTGCTTAACAGCTGGAACTGGTTTCGCTGTTTCCCACAGTTCGCGCCACAGATTACCTAGACATCAATGAGTAATCACTACCTAAGTCTACATAAGTTTTAGGGCATATAAAAGACAGTGCATCCAACATAATATTGAACTACTATTACAAGATAAGACATATATTCAGATCTCCCATTTGCTTGCTCACTTTTGAGGACATACTATAGAAATGAACTTTAATACTTATGCTCATACAAGTCATATAGGGTAAAAAGACAGAATTTCCACCTTTTAGACAAACAGGTGTCCCCATAGAGAAGGAAAAGAAAGACCAGCAACCATCTTATGTTACACAGATTATGAAATGCTGGACAAAACCTTAGGTCATACTACATGAAATACTAAGTATAAATTTAGAAGCAATACTCTGTGCATAATTGAAAATTTAAGGAGAATATTGTTTTTAAAAAAAATAAAAATAAAAATAAAAAATAAAAATAAAAATAAAAAAACAACTAGAAGAATCACTCTTATCGAAATTCATTATCAGTAGAGGAAAGATAATAAAAGAAGTTCAGTTGGCATAAGGCCTCTGCCCTCTGGGCATGACCTGGAGGTATTTTATTCAACTCCTGGGGACTTCAAGCCTCCACCATGAGCTTACCCAAAACACGTGGTTTAGGGGTGATTGAAGTTGTCCAAAGGGAATAGTCCCCCTCCCAAAGGGGGTGGGGACATGCTCCACTATAAATAAATAAATAAAAGGACAAATTTTCTTTTTTTAAAAAAAAAAAAAAAACCAACAAGTATTAGCCGACTGTTTTAATCCTATCATATATTAAAACTACCAAACAATTAAACATTCACTCTTAAAGCCATAAAAATAATCTTCACCTAGCACAATAATTCAAGCCAGAAGCAAACACTGTCATGTAAGTACCCCAAATCATCCACAATCTATCAGAAAAGTCAGTAATACATCAATTCAGGATAAAATTATGGTACATTCTCTAAGTAGAACCGTGATTGAAAAGATTACTTTTTAACTTATTCTAATAAAAATCATTAATTTTATTAATCCTGCTGAAGGACAAGAAAAATGTCAAAAAGAATGTGGATGGAGGCTATAACAGAACATAATTTACTTGGATTTGATTGATCCATATTCCAGCTAGAAAAGACAGATCCATGTAGCCGAATGAAGTAGGGGGACTATGGGAGTAAGGTTGTTAGATTGAGTTGAGTTGACTTTAAAATTTAAATACGTAGAGTTCACATGTTATTGTCATTATTTTAACAATCTACCAAAGTTGGGACGCTGCTTGGCAAAAATAAAAATAACCAGCTCCCCATGACCACTGGGTTAACCTAGGTGCCCAGATACCTAATCTGATAAATCTGCCCTCGCAAAAAATTAACACCACCATTGCTTGATGGAATAAACCCAAAAGTAAATAAAGAATATACACAATTTCGACAAAAATAAAAGTAACAGAGGACAAGACATGACAATAAAATTAAAACGAATGCACACTTGGTTATATCCATTGGTTATCCTCCTTCCAAACATTGGAATGCAGAAAAGGTGAACAATGAACAAAAATTTACTATGTATGATGAAATGAGAGTATTTACCTTTTTTCTGCATTCGACTACTTAGTTGACCTCTTGTAGACATTAAATCACTGCTATCAACAGTGTCTTCAGCTTCATTCGTCATCTCGGTTTCCATCCAATCAGGGGGGGAGTGCCATCTTACAAAATCTTCTAATATACAACCTGGGTTTGCGGCCTACATGATAACAGAAAATCACATTCAGTGTCGATATTCTGACATTCTAACCACAAAAGGCAGATATGCCTCTTTGGGATCCATGAAAGAGCAAACTTATTCACTATGAAACTTCACCTTGAAAGCCTGCATGTCTGAGAGAAGTTGAGAACATCCAGCACCGACACTGGACATACAAAAACAAAGAAGTTTTTAGGAGGGACTTAAGAGAATAGGCGAAAGTTCAATCAGTAGAAGTAACGAAGACCACATATTAAAAAAAGGTGCATATCACTGCCCTTTATTGAATTGTTGGCATCATATCAAGGAAAAAAAAATGCTAAATGAGAAAGAAAAAGTTCCTTGTGAAGCCATATTTGTTTTCTAAATGTTTTAATTCTAAAATGACGAGGGAGTGTAAATCCTAGGCAAATTAAATTCAAAAAATATATATATGCACACACTCACGACTCTAACAATAAAATAAGTTCGAAATTAGTAGTGCTAATAAGTAACAAAGTGAAAAGAATTCGAGGTTTCTCAAAGATAAATATAGAAAGGAAAACAAAAAAAGAAATGAGGGAAACACAAATTGTATTGTTATTCATTCTAAGGAGACCAAAAAAGAAAAAAATTACATCAACTTTCTCATCTGTACAAAGGGTGCTCTGTTATAACTTCCTAGGTTTGAAATAAACATTACAGTATATGGTATATCAGATCATTTTGCTGGAGTTCTTCCTCAGGAACTTGACCACCCTGGGCAATCCAAGATGGAAAGCTACTTTAGTGGCACCAGTACACAGTCATCTCTTGGGGCCATTCACATGTTTTGAATGCTTAGCCGAGTCTTAAATGTGGCTTTTATATATAATTTAATGTTTCTTTGTTGATCAATCAATTAAGTTTAAATTAAAGGTCTTTATGCCATCATACTTACAGTTTAAGTGACACAAAACCACAAGGGGCAGACTGGTCACTCTGGTTATTTTCTTTTTGTTGGACAAAATGGATGGATGGATGGATGGATGGAGAGAGACAGAGAGAGATCTTATAAGAGGATTGTTCCAGCTTGTATCGGACACCTGTTGGAGAATTGTTAATAACATTTCAGCAAGTAGCATATAAGAGGATTGTTCTAGTTCGTAAATTGCAGCATTTGAGGAATTGTTAGTAATGTTCCAGCCTGATACAGCAGCCTTTTCCTTTTCCTTTCTCTTGGAATTCAGATGTGGGCGCCTAAGCTAATACTTTGGTTTCATCTTGCTCTCAGATTATCCTTCTTATTAAGTGAATTGCATTAGATCGAATTATTAAAGCTTCATTCTCTCAACAAAAAATTCCATAAAAAAAACCATTATAAAGTTACTATAGTCTCTCAATAATATGTTTAAACACACATTAGTAAATCCACTTAAATGTCAACATTTTCAATGATAAACTGACAACTAACCTAAAGGTCCTGACTTGCCAACCATAATCCATTAGAACATCAACAGGTTAATCAACACCACGTCTAAGTAAATAACCTGCTCAAATCAAACTTGTATTATACAGTTTAAGTTTCACTTAACATTGAATGTGATTTTCAAGCTCATCAAAACTGTATGATTGATTCTATAGGTCTAAATCCCCAATGGCACATAATGCTCCCACACGGTGTTTCTGACTAAGGGCAGTTCTACATTCTTGAAAGATGTTCCAACTCTCAAGCATTAACTGAAAAGTGACTTTTTAGTGAAGGAATAAAATTATTGGATAATTAATTAAATCTCCTTCACAATTCAAGAAGTATATAACTGGTTACATACAATGTCAACCAAGCACTGGATTAAAGATATTTCTTCCTTTTTCTGTTTGAGCCTTTGGGTGTGTGTACTTTCAATGTCAACACGTTTCATTTTCAGAAGGGCTATCTATATCACTTAAAAGCACCCATAGAAGGGTTCCAGATTAACTCGCTGTAACTGTATAGTTAAATGGTTAAATATAAAAATTCTCGGGGGAAAGAATATAAAAGAGATTGAAAAGGGAACGGATAAAAGGCATTTTGTGAATATACTCAGGACACTAACCTCCCTGTTCGTAGCACAAATTCCTCTGTTTCTTTGATAAGATCTTCGGTAAGCAAAGGCCCTTCCTACATATGCATATATACACATAGATCTGAACAACAATAGGAAGTTGAAAGGTAAAAAAAAAAAAAAAGGTAACTATTAAAAGTTTGATGCATGACCAAACCTGCGTAACAGGAGTATATACAGGTTCACCAGTTTCAAGCATTGTTAAATTGTCAAACAGTTTATCAGCTCCCAACCGGAGAACAAGTTCCCCAGTACTAATACTAGCATAGAGAATAGTGCTTGCAGGAACCATGCCGTCAGAAACAGCAGATTCTTCAACATTTGAATTAGCTTGACTAATTACAGAATCCAGCGATTCAGTGGCAATTAAGCGGCGCCTTTTTCTGGAGACACAACAGTTGATAACCTGCAATTGCTGATACAAGAGACAGGAATTTAAGTCTGGAATTTCATCTGGAGGGATGCCAGGAACATATTGTTCTTCAGACCAAAGTCTTCTCAGCTGCACATCAAAGGATTCAAAGAGCACTCTATCAGCAGAAGATCAACGATAGAAGTCATGTCGATGCATCGGATCTCAATGCAATGAAGTTATAGACATCAGAATAACAACATAATTAAAATTATAAGAACTAAACAACTACTTCTTTGGATAAAATGTACTCATGAAGATATAGTGAAGTGGTCGAGAAACACTTCTTCAAAAGGAACCCAAGATACCAGTGTGTTCCGAAGTCATGAAACTAGAGTTCAAAAATTTGTAAAAGATCCTGAATGTCATTTATGGACAAAAATGGAAGTTGTCGGTCATAACAGCAGAAATAAAACTACCATGTGAAATTGTGAGGCCAATTTACCAGTTAAATCTTTCAGTAAGCACATATTAGTCATTGGCATTCCATAAGTTGACACTTCCCAATCTACCTAATCAGCAAAATGATGAAAAGGACAACTACAGGGACATTGTTTTCTTAGCTGAGTACAGATGAATTTCCATATATATGAAAATACCACTGAGTATCGAATCCTAAGTTCATTAGGAATGATTGTGGAAAAACTTTGAAAGAAAAAAAAATTGATAAGCATGTATGACATGACCACATCGGTTGAATACGTAGTCTAGATGAAGAAAAAAGTTAACATCAGCAAGGCATGCTTTGGCAATCAGTCCCTTAGCTGTTAAAAGTGAGTCCCTTTAGGAGAATAATTCTGAAAGATTTGCGGAAAAATAAAGCAGCCGTTCAAAAAAGAATAGCACTGCAAAATTTTGGCAAAACTTCACTCGGGTGGTGCAGTCAAGAAGAAAATTTAGTGCATGGTTGCAGAGTTCAACAGAAATATTGAAGATTTTACCATCGTCAGGGGACGTATCAACCCTAAGGAATATAAAAAGTAAACTTCAATTCCCTCTATATTTCTGGAGTTCCATAAAAGTCAACTCCCCTCTGTGTTTATGGAATTATGATGACCCTTAATAACATCGATGTCCACCAATCAATACTTTCAACCAATGATAGCTATAGTGACGGAGTCTATCTAGAGCGTTGGAAAAGGTGATGCAATTTTTTTAATTTTTTTTTGGAAGTTTAAGCAACTGACATGTTATGGGGTTACTTGGTGCCAAGTCTCGAACCCATGCGCTCCAAGAGCCAACAGGAGGCATCTTACCAGCTAGGCTAGAAGACTTTGGCGAAAAGGTGATGCATGATAAACAACTTCCAGAAGTAGTCTCAAGGATCAGGACTGAGCTTGATCTAGCATTATGTTACAAGCAGAGGATTCATGATATTTAAATGATGAGTAAATCTCAGTAACAATAATCATGTATTTGATGAATTGTTGAAAAAGAGGCATTAAATGTAACACAGACGAAGATTTCCTTTGTTGTCGATTGTATATATGGGCTTTGATAATTTGAGTTTCATTTGATACACTTACTTCAGCAACAACCCTGAACCAAAAGAACGCCACATTTTTCAGGGTTCTGAAGGTTCCAATGGCTTCAGAGAGCTTGACAACAAAGCTTCCAGGAGGAGCGCCATGAATATCTTTAGCTGAGGACGTCATATTTGTAAGTGTTTCTGGACCAGAGTCGATTTTCCTTTCTGGAAAATGTCCTTCTGTGAATATCTTGCACATATTACAACGGAAGTGAAAAACCATCAAGAGGTAATGCAAAAAAAATAATAAAAAATTCACTCTTAAGAAAATATAATTTTATCAAGTCCCAAAAGTATGCATGTAAACCTGCTTCAAGTAGCGAATTGATCATCGACAGGACTTTCTCATCAGCACCAAACTCAGATGTAACTTTTTCTTCCTTTTCACGGAGCACTAATGACTTCACCGCAGAAAAGCTCAAGCCAGCTCTCTCCATGACAGGTGAAGAATCTCTGGATGATGCCAGAAGATCTTTCATTGACTTGAACTTTTTTCCAGCCCTAGAGAAGGGTTCCCAGAAGAAAAAAAATGTAAAAATGCAGAGTGCTGAAGAAATCTTTTTTACCCAGCATAAATTTGTTAAAGAACACAATTTATAGGAAATAATAGTTTCCTCTCCTCTAAGGGATGAGAAGAATGAAGTTGTAAAAGTAATATATCATATTATGAAGTGCTAATAAAGGGAGGGCAAAAATAAATAAAATAATATACATTATCATGTCATAAGATAAGCATTTGAAAGTCTATCATGGTATAAATTTCGAATACTGATCTTCTTTTATGAAAGGAATGCAACCAATCAGAAGATTTTACAATCAGAAAATTTAAATCACATAAGCAGTTATTTGCTAAAATGCCAACAAAGAAAAAACTTACTCAACATCTATAGCTAATTGCTTTATGACAGTTGTTGGAGGAATGATACCCACGTTCCTAGTATTCACATCTTCTGCTGAGGAACCCATTTCTGAACCCTGAAACATACCAATCCCATTCACTCAAATAATAGATAAAGTGCTTTAAGTAAATCCATCATTTTCAGCACCAAAAAAAGTCAAGGTGTTTTTTCATCAATTAAATATAACCACTCTTCAAACTGTTGAAGTATAAGAACTACAAATACATCCAATGTCAGTCCATCTCCGTAGTTAAAAGCCCATTAAGGGTTGTTGTGAGTTACATTTTTCAATCATGTTAACCATACAAGCTTTAAAAACAAGCACAGAGTGTGGTTTGGTTTTGTGTATACTGTATATGCAGACAGATTGTGCCCCTGTTAACACCTTTAGTGGATTGATTATATCTAAATATCTGTGTGCGCATGTGTGTGTGTGTGATGTCATGTGTTTCTCTTACAAAACCTTGCAAGGCAATTCCCACAGGTTAAGAATAAAATCTTTTGGTGTTTTAATTTTATGATTTTTCCAGGACCTCAATCCCAAACTTCTGTGGAGCCTGGCATTCAATCCTAATGGACTAGTGATGTATAATCCGAGGTAAATGTTCATTAAACTGTACTATAATGTTTCTAAATCTTCCACATTCTAACAATACCTGATTTACACTTTTAGCAAGTTTGTATATTGCAAAACAGTGATATTGATATTCCTATTTATTTAGTGCTTCACATGGTCTCCAAAGAAATCTATAACATCTTTCCAGCTATTTGGCATGGTCTAACAGAAAGTGCATGATGTGAAAGTTTGGTCTAACAGCTATTTGCCCGGTGGGTCAACGATGAAGGCTATTTACTTGTTGAGGAGACTAATGGAAAGATATAAGGAGAAGAAGAAAGATCTCCATATGGTTTTCATTGATTTGGAGGGAGCCTCTGATAGGGTTCCTAGAGACCTAATATGTATGATTTTAGAAAAGAAAGGAGCCACAAAGAGATACATTGACACAATAAAGGACATGCGTGGTGGTTGTGTGACTATAGTTAGAACAGCTCTAGGTCTAGAGGAAACAAGGGAATTGCCAATTACTGTAGGCTATAATTAAGTCCATATCTTTTTGCCTTGGTTATGAATGAACTGACGAGACACATCCAAGATGAGATTCATTGACGTATGTTATTTGCCGATGATATTGTTTTCATTGATGAGATTAAAGGAGTTAAAGCCAAATTGGAGATTTGGGGAGAAGCTTTAGAACTAAAAGGGTTTAAGATAAGTCGAAATAAAACAGAATATATGGAGTTTAACTTTAGTAAATCTAGAAAGATAAATGAGGATGTAGTGAGGATTGAGAATCAAGAAGTACAAATGAGTGACCATTTTCGTTATTTAGGTTCACTTATTCATAATGAGGAAGAAATTGAAGATGACGTTAATTATAGAATCAAGGCATGATAGGTTAAATGGAGGAGTGCATCTAGTGTATTGTGTGATAGGTGTATCCCCATACGATTGAAAGGGAAGCTCTATCAAACAGCTATTAGACTAGCCATACTTTATAGTACCGAATGTTGGGCAGCTAAGAAACAACATTTGTATAAAGTAAGTGTGGCAGAAATGCGAATGTTGAGATGGATGTGTTGTAAAACTAGAAAGGATAGAATTAGAAATGATCATATTCGGGAGATGGTTGGAGTAGCACCAATTGGTGATAAAATGAGAGAAAATTGGTTGAGATGGTTTGGACATGAGCAAAGAAGACCTTTAAGTCCATCGGGTAAGAAAAGTGACATAGGTCACATTGAGGGTAATTCTAGGGGAAGAGGAAAACCAAAGTTAACGTGGGTAAAGTTAGTAAAGAGAGATATGATAGCATGTGGATTAACTGGGGCTATGGCCTTTAATGGAGCAGAATAGAAACATAGGATTCATGTAGCTGCCCCCGAGTAATTGGGAAAAGGCTTGATTTTTGTTGTTGTAGATTCCAGTTATAGTATCAATACTTTTTTTTGGTAAGTAGTTATAGTATCAATACTTAGAATTATAAGTGTATAAACACCTATGCATTTATATGATAGTAACAGAAAACTAAGACATCCAAGGATGAACACACACACACACACATATATAAATAAATAACCAAAAAAAAAAAAAATAACTTACCTTTGATTCAGAAACATCTCTCACCCTCATCATGTACAAATTTTCATCAAAAATTGTGAAGGCCATGGTTGCATTTTCAGCTTTCTCAATGTCTTCAATTCCTTTTTTCCCTATTCTTATGTTTTTCAACCTCTCCTGCCAATCCTGTTTTGTCTTTATTGGTGCTGGTTTCCGCCTCAGATACTTTACTTCATGGTAACTCTGTGCCATTACAATTTTTTACGTTATTTCATATATATTTATTTATATGAATATATATACATATTAAAATCACTACAAAGTAATCCGCTTCTAATGAAAAAAACAAGGAAAACTAGTGAAAGGCATAAGCACATATTTCTGAATAATATTAATTGTGAGTGATCAATACCTTCCAATAATAAAAATTTGACAAACAATTAAGGATAATAAGATAGATATTGAAAATTTTCTACTATCCTCTGCTTGGTGCTGAAAACATTTAATTAATACTTTCATACATATATCCTTATGTACTCATATAGATGAATATGTGATTGTGCTTGTGAAAGCTGAGTGAAATACAACTACTTGTTTCAGTTGAAACAATATTTTTCACTTTTTGTAAACCATCGAAACACTACATATAAGTATCAAATTTCACTTTTCTTTGCTATTTTTCAGTTCTTTCAGCAGTTAAAAACAGATTATCATTCTGAATCCAAACAAATAACAAATGCAAATTCTCTTTGAATTTCCTCAGCTTTCTCAGCATCCAAACAGAGATTTGCCGCCTCCGAGAAACAATCAACGCATGAAAATTGATGAAAATTGAACCGCTACATTCTACATTCTTAACAGGTCAAATTTCAAACACAAATAGATTGAAAGCAGATTAAATTCTACTGAAATCAACAAAATTCTTTAAATTTAATTACAAAAAAATTAACAAATTCACCTTTGACTCGGCGTCGTTGCTTGGAGACTCTGGTCTTGAGGTCGTATTCGGCGAGAATTCATCAGAATCTTCTCAGATTGAACCGATTTGAACGTTCGTTTGACAATTGATAGTTCAAAAAATATCAGAAGAGACCAAGAATTTGAAAGTGCAAATATTGTAAAAAGAAAAAGAAAAATTAAAAAATCTGTGATCGTGATTAAAATGAAAAATATATATATAGTGTACCTCGATTGGTTGTTAAATCAGATTTTTTAATGTCCGTGAAGACTCTCTCCGCTTTAGCTGCCGCTGAATGGAAGGCCGTCCTCGCTCTCGATACAATGGACGACCCCTCCATTTCCTGCGCCAGAGTGCGTAGGTTAAGCCAGAGAAAATCGCGAATTCAGAGGCGAAAATGAGGACATGTTTGCAGGCGAGAGAGAGAGAGAGAGAGCAGACGAGCAAATACTCAATAAGACTCGAAAGTGTGACAGATATATTTATATATATGGTAGTATTTTACATTAATAAAATCCAATAATTAATTTGATCTATTTACTACTTCTTGGGCTCGAGCACTAGTACCATTCTCGAGCATCAGTGGATGATGGTGGATGGTACTCATTACCCATATAAAATTGTCTTTTTTTAGTCAAAAACTTCTATTTCAAATACAATTATGTTTTAATAAAAATATATATATTGGATTTCAAAGTTGTTAAATTGGTGTACCTATAATAATTAATGTTTAGCTGAAATCAAATTCAAATTGAGTTTTGATATAAGTTAAGATTCTATCCAATTTTTCTGTTGACATACATTTGAAATTTATATTGTGAATATCCACTCATATTCATTTCTTTATCCATATTCTAGTGTATTCTGGTGGAAAGGATGAGAAGAAATTTTATTGTATTGTAAACATAGGGATAAGTAGTAGACCTATCATGTTAAAAATCAGAAAAATATTAAATTAAAGATTAAAATTTTTGGTCAACTAATGTCGCCATTGGTGTATTGCCTACTTAGTTGTCATTATCTTATAAATAATTAATGTTGTCCGTGTACGTAACATATGGTAGCCACTAGCCAATTATTAAATACATTTATTTGAGCATATTAATAAAATGTTAAATAAATTATTTCTGACAATTTGAAAACTTGTAAGTGACACATAACTATCATACTTATCATTTATGAATGCAAACATTCACAACTATTCTTTTAGGACTCCATCACTCAAACTTAAAGAAAATTGGTGGACTAGTTTACTTTGCATATGAATTTTAAATTAGTGTAATCAAAATAGTGTTACAATTTTCTGAGCTTTTGTTTGTAATATCTAAATATAGAAGTTCTAGGAACCACTTTAAAATTTAGGGTGGAATTTGCCGGTAATGGATGTTTGTTCTTTTACTCAAAAAGAGCGCCAATTATAATGCTTAATTTTTATAAAAACAGTTATTTTGCTTAATTAAAAAAAATTACAAAGTGTAACTAAAATTACTAGGAAGTTTGCATATATTAGCATGTTGAGAAGTTCTCAGGGTCTGTATGTGTGGACAAATCTTAATTAAATTAAGTAGACTTGTTTTGATGAAAATTATAAGTACCAAAAAGAAAATACAAAGTAGACAGTATCTACACAATAAGAAACAGATTATGACCAATAATACTTACCTAATTTACGAAATTGGAAAAACTTTCAATTGCATTGAAGTCATTAAATAGGTTTTTTTTTTTTTTTTTTTCATTTACATTTTTTTTTCACATGATAAAATAAATTTATATTATCTTTGGGAGTACGAATAGGTAAATTTATGTTATATTTGGGAGTACTGAATAGGTGACTTGGATTTGAGATTGAAAGAAATTTAGTTTAAAATTTATACTTTTTCCAATCTCAAATCCACGGCACAAATTTGAAACCGTCAAACATAGTATTAATAAATATTTGAATTTGAAGTTTATCAATCCCACCAACAAAGCCCTGAAGCATAACACTGTAGTTTAGCTTTTCATTAGTTATGCTTCATTGTTCCAAAAAAAAAAATCAATGAAGTTAAATCTGAATTGGGCATTTATCTCTTGTATTTATTCTCTTTAGGAAGACAATTAACACATCTGCATTGCATCATTTGCATGTTTATATTAACTCAAGTCTAGACAGCAACTAGGTGCTTCAAATTCATAGATAATACATGGTGGTCTTGTCAATCCACAGAAATTAGATCCACGAAAATTCTAGCAGCTGCCTCTGTGGGATGATATAGATCCCAAAAAAGATGATCACTTCTGTTTGAGCAATACGAGGATGTGGGTATACATGGAAGCTCAGCATTTAAGAACCCCATTCCACAGCAAGCAGATTGAACCTCTTTAAATCCTGAAATCAAATCCAAATTATAAATTTCAAGTTTCAATCAAATTCCCAAAAAAAAAATTTAAAAGTAAGTTCTTTGTGGTAGTGTGGTAGTATAGGTACCATAAGTTGCTGGTTTTTGAATAAAATTAAGAAATGCAGTGTATGCATCAAAATAGGAGTAGCTGATGTCCTTAAGCTCTGATTTCAGTCCTTCCAACATTGGCTTTAGGCCTTCATTGTACTTAAGAGACCACTGATTTGCTTCTTCATTGCATTCCCCAACCCCCGTCTTGTTCTGATACCTCTGTGTTGGACAGCATCCGATCATTCCAATCCCGGTCACCACAAATTTACGTGCACCAAGATCGTGCATCCTCTGCAGGCGAGAAGAAAAAAATTTTGTTTTTATCAAACACAAATCAACCAATAGAATAGTAGTAATACAAAAATGCCAATATTACCCACTTATGGTGTAGAATAATTGTGGAGGGGGTGTTAAGGAAAGTGTATACCTTCAACATTTCTTTGAGGGTGAGAATTATTTGATCAACAGGTGGAGTGCTTGTATTGGGAAGGTTAGATTTTGAACTGAAGTGGCCCAATAAGTCATTGCTTCCAATAACAATGGCAAACAGAGAATTTGATAGATGTTGCAGTGCACCAGCAGATCCTAGCTGTTGCACGACGCCTTTGTACACAACTGAATAGTAGTCTACTTGCTCTGTCAAAGAGATCGACTCTTGCTGCAAACAAATACACACATTTGATTAGTATAAACAACATTAACAATATACAATTTGCGAGGATAGCCCAGTCTTGAGAGTTTTAGACTGAACTTTTTTTTTTTTTTTTTTTTTTTTTTTTTTTTGGAGTATGGTCCCACAATACACATACCAGCTATTTGAAAGCCGGAGAACTTACTTTCAGAATTCCTGTTTTAGATATGATAATATTAATTATTTAATGACATTTGTTTCGTAAGTGATTAATGAATTTTTTTTTTTTTTTTTTCTCTTACAAAGACTACCTGTGTGGCACTCAAGATTCGAGCACCCCCGGACGCGAAGCTAACACCGGTGACGAATGCCTTGCTATCGTTCGATAGAGATAAATATGGTGGTGGTGAAGTTGGTAAGCCCACTTTCTCAGCTGCCAAACAAATCCGTGTGGAAAAAACGATTAAGTTAACAATAATACAATCCACATCTAGATAGTCATACATGATTTGAATTTTCCAAAAATGAAAAAATTCTATATAATCCGTCATAGACATAATTTAAAAGAGTAATAAGTAAATAACTTGAACAACACTAATTATATACAGTTTTTAGTTTTGCTATCACAACTCACAAGAAGCAGAAACATGAAAACGAATAACCGTTTTATTAATTTTTATTGTTGTCACAGTATTGAAAACATAAAATAATAACAGCATTTATTATTACATATTTGTTAAAAGATGTACACAATATTTTTAAAATATTTTATTTTTTTAATTTTTCATTACTACTAGAAATCTGAAAATGTAGAGAATTTATGCAATTTAATTATTTTACAAATATTTACATGATAATAATATACAATTTAAAATAACAAATTGTAATAATACTCAATAAATAATTATAAAATAAGATATACTAAGACAAAAATGTTCTAACCAATTATGTATATAAATATATGTATAGGCATCATCTATACATTTATTATATATCATATAGTATATTATAATAAATAAAAATGCTAAATAATATATCTTATATGTAATAAAATGTATAATGTATTATAATATTATAATTTAGTATTCACATATAATATAATATAGATATGGTATGTAATAATATAAAAGATATAAAATATAATAAATGCTAAATATTTTTGTCTCAAAAAATATTTTACACTACTATATAATATATTATATATTAAAGTTATATATTTTAATTAAATAAGATATAATTTACCTTATTATATAATATATTATATATATATAAATTATTTTTTATTAATATTTAATATGTAGCATCAATATATAACATGAATAGCATAAATTTTATTTGAAAGTTTGTGTGGTAACAGTAGTGAAAATATTTTTACCAAAAACAGAGGATATACCTTTTTTTAATGTATTCTCATTTCTTCAAAAAAATGAAAAATATTTTCTATTATAAAAAAAAAAATTATTATTATTAAAACAAAAAACGTTTCTGGTTAGTAAACCCAACTTATAATATACTTTTTATAAATGTTATATATATATATTAATTATCAACCATTAGATTCATTTAGTTGCATAGTTATATTATATACCATCTTATATATTAACAATTCTCCACTCTATTAAAGCGATAAAGATGAGTGGATCTTATTTTAATATGAGCTAATTAGGAGTTGTAGATATGATTTTAATATGAGCCAATTAGGATATGAATTAAAATATTCAATCTAACGATGCAAATGTAATAACTAAACCGATATAAATTTTGTTGATCTGATTCGAATTTGATCTGTTGACAATTTGGGTCAGAGCAATTTGATTGTCAACTGTAGTGCACATACAATAAATTTTCCATATGATGATAAATATTCTAATTTTCCTGAGATGTCTATAGTCACATTATAGATCTTTTATTACATCAAATGTACTTAAAAATAAGTTACACATGGATAGGATGGATGATGAGGACAAGAAAATAGTAAAAAAGATTAGATAAACAAGACAGTGTGATTAGATAAATTTTTATTTTGTAATGTATCACATGTAATTAGTCGGGATCATTTAAATTTTTTTTTTTTTTACCTGTGTGGATATATATGTATTGATACAAAGAAATAGTTAATTGATAAAGTGAAGAAAGTGAAAGTGTTTAATTATTGAGAGAATGAAGAAATTAACCTAGAAAATCAGCCGTATTTTTGCCGTTACTAAATCTTCCGGTAGGCTTTCCGCCGGGATAATCGATGCCGTTATGGGGGAAATTGGCTTTATCAAAAGAATTCTTGAGGTAATTGTTATTGCCAACATCTACCAGTGAGTCACCAAATACGTACATTGCAGCAACCTTCTCTGCTTCACACCAACTACTCATCAAACCCAACATCAACAACAAATACAAACTCACTGCTCCTGAAACTTTACACGCCATTTTAATTACCACTTTAACAATTCCTTCTCTCTCTCTAATGAATTTGGAATATGGAGGGGAAGTTGGGTTTTAAAGGGTTTGGAGGAGCAAACAGTCCTCTTTAGTCTTTTTCGATGCCATACATTTCTTCTGTTTCATATTAGTTGTACATGTGGGGAGTCGGGACATATAATTAATGCATTGTTTCCTTTTAATATTATGCGAATGTCATTTTTAATTTAAATATGTATTATATTTTCAAACTTAGAATATTTTTGAAAATTTAAAAGGAAATTATGAAAAAATAATATTTTTTTTTGTTTTAATTTTTTTAAGGAATAATTAATTTGAGACATCCTAATAGAAAAAGATCAACTGCTTGTTGCTCTGGTATTAATTGTCTATGAATTCTATTCCCCATACAGAGAGATTAAATGTAACACGATGTTTCCAACTAATTGTGAAATATTACAAAAATCCGTCTCATTTGCTCGGTTTCTTTCAATTAAATGGGGTTAATATAATGCATTTAATGACCAAACGAAAAGAGGTTGATTTTCATAATGTGTAAGTTTAATTGATTGATTGTACAAAACTATGAAAAACGAGGAGTAATAAACTACTTTATGATGTTACCGTCGAATTGAATATTATACCATTGTTTTTACTTTTGTGTTTTTGTTCAAAACTTGCTTCGTATTCAAAATCAACGTCCAAAAATTTCAAAGTTTGTGCAACTAAAATTACTTCGTCATAGCTACGAAGAAAGAGCTATCAATGAGCTCCCAGAAACTTGACCGAGTTGGTAAGGTCACAACCTGAACTGCCTTAGGTTTCAGGTTCGAACCCATCTATCGCCATTATAACTCTTAACTGAAATTGTTGCTGAGGTGTGAAGACCGTCGACAGCATTCCCGGTTTGTAGCCTGGGGTGGGTCCCAAAGGAGCCCTGCCCAGGTGAGTTCCGGTGCCAACAAAAAAAAAAAAAAAAAGCTATCAATGGATTCATACTTTTGCAGTACAAAAATAAATAATAACAATAAAATAAAAAATTCACAGCTTTCAATATTGGAGATTAGATTAAGAATGTGGCACCTATTTAGTTTAGTCCCAAAGGTGATAGGAGGAATTATTAAATAGTTGTAAATCACTAATACTTTGATGTAATTCAATCAAGATTAATGTCACACACCTTTTTTTTTTTTTTTTTTGGTCCCTTTAAAGAATGGAACTCTCATCATTTACTTTAAAAGGTAGAGGATATATCGAACTAAGTAAGTATGCAGCACTACCTAACAGTTTGAGTTTTTTAATAATGGGAAAACATCTAACCGTTACTGTTAATATCAAAGTCAAACTTAATCCTTAATTCGGTATTACGCAAAGCGACCGTCTGGCGTTATGTGGATGGCCAACTATTAAATACATTTGTTTGAGCATATAATATTTCTTGCTTATGGTAATTTGGTAACTTCATGAAAATTAATCCAACTTCTTTCCTTTTTTTACAAGTCATGAATTCACACATTCACAATTTATACCTCATGTACTCAACCTTGATGTAAAGTGTATGTCTAATTTAATCCGATGATACTTTACCTAATTTAAGAAAACATTCAAGTCATTAAAGTAATTTTTTAAGTCGATGATACTTTCCTAATTTAAGAAAGCATTCAAGTCACTAAAGTAATTTTTTTTGGTTTCATTTATAGCTTTTGGTCCGCATGCTATTTTAAAAAAATAAAATAAAAAATAATAATAAAATAAAATAAAAAGTAAATTAAAATCTAATTGATATATAAAGTTATAAAGCGTTGTCTTAAACAATAACCAAAAGTTATAAAGTTTAGATCTAATGTAAGCCAATGATATGTACCTAATTTAAAAAATCTAAAAAAAATTCCTCAATCGCATTCAAGTCATTAGAAATATAATTTTTGGTTCATTTACAGTTTTTGGTCCACATAATGTATTTTTTTTAAAATAAAATATAAAATGTAAACTAAAATCTAATTAATATATGAATTATAAAAGTACTGTCTCGTATAGCAAACCAAAAGTTGTAATTGATTCACACACAAACATCAACGGTGTGTGTTTCAATCATAGCCCTTAATTATTATAAAGCACCCATGTTGTACAATACTGAATCCCGCCCGACCCTTGTGAGTTGCAATTTGGAGGGTAAAACTGCAAAGCTTCTTAAAATCTTAGATATTGTGACAAATTTTAATACAAGGAAGACAAATGTTAGAGAATGGAACTCTCATCATCTACTTTGAAAAGATAGAGGATATGTGTGACAAGTGGACTTGTCCCATATCGGATTGGATGGGTATACAATATTACCTAATAGTTTGAGTTTTTTAATAAATCGGAAAACATCTAACCGTTACAGTTAGTATCAAAATCAGATTTAATCCTTGATTCGGTATTATGCAAAGCGGCCCTTCTGGCATTATTTGTATGGCCAACTATTAAATACATTTGTTTGAGCATATAATATTTCTTGCTTATGGTAATTTGGTAACTTTATGAAAATTAATCCAACTTTTTTCCTTTTAAAAAAGAAAAAAAAAAACACTTGTAATCTAGTTATACTTCTTAGCCTTCCAAAATAAGAGGCATTGTTGATTCAAGTCCAACAAATAAAAAACAAAAAAAAAAATTGTTTAACAAGTTATGAATTCACACATTCACAATTTATTCCTCATGGACTCAACCTTGACGTAAAGTGTATGTCTAATTTAATCGGATGATACTTTACCTAATTTAAGAAAACATTCAAGTCATTAAAGTAATTTTTTAAGTCGATGATACTTACCTAATTTAAGAAAGCATTCAAGTCACTAAAGTAATTTTTTTTGGTTTCATTTATAGCTTTTGGTCCACATTCTATTTTTTTTTTTAAATAAAAAATATTAATAAAATAAAATCTAATTGATATATAAAGTTATAAAGCGTTGTCTCAAACAACAACCAAAAGTTGTAAAGTTTAGATCTAATGTAAGCCGATGATACGTACCTAATTTAAAAAATCTGAAAAAAATTCCTCAATTGTATTCAAGTCATTAGAAATATAATTTTTGGTTCATTTACAGTTTTTGGTCCACATAAAATCTTTTTTTAAAAATAAAATATAAAATGTAAACTAAAATCTAATTAATATATGAATTATAAAAGTACTGTCTCGTATAGCAAACCAAAAGTTGTAATTGATTCACACCCAAACATCAACAGTGAGTGTTTCAGTCATAGCCCTTAATTATTATAAAGCACCCATGTTGTACAATACTGAATCCCGCCCGACCCTCGTGAGTTGCAATTTGGAGGGTAAAACTGCAAAGCTTCTTAGATATTGTTACAAATTTTAATACAGGGAAGACAATTAATAATTATGCATTGCTTGTTTGTATTACTTGGTCTACACGGCAATTAGCTGCTTCAAATTCATAGGAAATACTTGTTCTTTTGAACCCTCGAAAATTAAATCCACTAAAAATCTAGCAGCTGCCTCTGTGGGATGATATAGATCCCAAAAAAGATGATCATTTCTGTTGGAGCAATAGGAGGCAATTGGTACACATGGAACCTGAGCTTTTAAGTCCCCCAATCCACAGCAAGCAGATTTAACCTCTTTGAATCCTGAAATGAAATTCAAATTAGTATAAATTTCAAAGTTTCAATCAAATTCCCAAAAAAGATGAAAGTGAGTGCATTGTGATGGTATGGTACCATAAGTTGCTGGTTTTTGAATAAAATTAAGAAAGGCAGTGTATGCATCAAAATAGGAGTAGCTAATGTCCTTGAGCTCCAACTTCAGTCCTTGCAACATTGACTTTAGGCCTTCATTGTACTTAAGAGACCAATGGTTTGCTTCTTCATTGCATTCTCCATTCCCAGTCTTGTTCTGGTTCCTCTGTGCTGGACAGCATCCGATCATTCCGATCCCGGCAACTACATATTTACGTGCACCGAGGTTGTGCATCCTCTGCCCTCGAGAAAAAAATAATAATAATTAATCAGACACAAATCAAGCAACAAAAATGTTAATTGAGCCGATATGTTTTAGTGGGATCCACCTCATTCAATGGTGTAGAATAATTCGCAAGACATTTAAATGATTTTGAAATGTTTGTTGTGGGAGGTGAAAGTGTTTTTTTACCTTCAACAGTAGTTTGAGGGTGAGAATCATATGATCAACATATTGTTGTGGGGTGTTTTTCTTGGGAAGTTCAGAGCCAGATTTGAAGTAGCCCAGTAAGTCATTGCTTCCGATCACAATGGCAAACACAGATTTTGACAGATGTTGCTGTGCACCGGCAGATCCTAGCTGTTGCACTACCCCTTGGTACACAACTGAATAGTAGTCTACTTGTTGTGTCAAAGGGATTGATTGTCGCTGTCAAGCAAAGACAAATTCATAAACAACTATCAATACTATATATTATATAAATGGAAGCTACACAACCACTAGCGGGGATAGCTCAGTTGGGAGAGCGTCAGACTGAAGATCTGAAGGTCACGTGTTCGATCCACGTTCACCGCATTCCTTTTGTTACTTTTTAATTTTGGGCTTGGGCCAGAGTAAAACAAACAAAAGTAGTGTCCCACTAAAAACAGTTTGGGCCCAGTAGGCCACAGTCTAAAACACAACCATGACTCGGGTTTTTTGGACTTGAGTTTTTAGCCCACCAATATATTGCCCCTCTAATATTAATATAAAGCTAGAGAAACAAAGACGACAAATATTATTAATTAATGACTAATTTGCCATTTTCTCTTACATAGACTGCATCTGTGCCATCAAAGATTCCTGCACCCCCAGAGGCAAAGCTAACACCGGTGAGGAATGCCTTGCTGTTGTTCGATTTTCGTAGAGATAGATATGGTGGTGAAGTCACTAACCCCACTTTCTCAGCTGCCAAACAATCCATGGAAATAAATAAATAACTAAACAATAATAGTCATATTGCTTGAATTTCCGAATAAATAAAATAGAAAAATCTAGATGGCCATAGACACATATAAGCACAGTAATATTGAAGTAAAAATGAATCAAGCTGGATATTAATAATGAACTATTAGAGCTCTTTTATGTTCGTTCATTAAAACAAAAGAGTAGAGTCTAAAATCATTTATTGATATAATTGACAGACTTGTTTTATCCAATTATAAGACGAATCTGATACGATAATTAATAATTGAGATAAATATTTATAAAATAATTTCTATTCTTTTTGAAAGTCTCACTGCAAATATCCAATAATTCTTAGCATTACTTTTTACTAAATATCCAACTGGATTGATTCAAAACTCTACCGGTGCAGCTCAAAGTCATCCACGTGCAACACAACACATCCACATATGCCCATTTAGATTATAAATTATAAAATATCAATCAATTACCTACACAAAAAGGCTTTCACACCAGTTTGACTGTTGAAACTGTGGTAAAAACACAGTAAAATTAATTTTCCGGGTGGTGTTGGTGATTTAAGTTATGTATTAATTGATAATATACACACTAATTTTGGTGAGATGTGTATAATTACGTACCATCACATGATCACTATTACACCAAACTTACGTAAAAGTTATAGATTGATAACGACAAGAAAATAGTAGCATGTGAGTGCGTATCTAAAGTTACTTGATAAAGTGATAAAAGTGAAGTTGTTTAATTATTAATCATTGAGATCCAGATTGATGAAACTAATTTACCTAGAAAATCTGCCGGATTTTTGCCGTTACTGAATCGTCCGGTTGGTTTTTTGCCGGGAAAGTCAACGCCGTTATGTGGGAAATTGGCTTTAGCAAGGGACAGCTTGAGATGATTGTTGTTGCCAACATCCACCAGCGAGTCACCAAATATGTACATAGCAGGAACGTCCTTCTGAGCTTCAGACCAACCACTCATCAAACCCAACATCAAGACAGAGAAAAACAAAGTAGTCACTCCTCCTGAAACATTGCAGGCCATTTTACTTATAGCAGTTTAGAACTCTCTCTCTCTATATGTGTGTGTGTGTGTGTGTGTGTGTGTGTGTGTAATATGAGTTTGGAATATGGACTGCCGGAGGGGTTGGGTTTTAAAGGGGTTGGAAAAGCTAAAGTTTTGTATGGTGCAGAGTGTGAATGGGTGGACGTTTGGAGGAGCAAACAGTCCACTTCTCAAGTCTTTTCACGTTATATCTATCTTTATATATATAGTGGAAGGTGTTGTCACATATATAGAACTCTATTTTGACTTTTTTCTAATTTATTTTTATTCTTGTTTTTGCTATTAGTAATTGTCAATAGAGAGATTAATAAACCTCGCACGCTGTTTTATAATTCAAACGAGTCATGAAATATTACAAAAATTCATCTGACTTGCTCTGCTTGTTTCAATTAATTTAGAATGGGGTTAGTGCATTGAATCACTAAATTAGGAGGTAGATTTTCGTAATGCTTAAGTTAATTGATGCATTGTACAAAACTATGAAAACGAGGAGTAATAAATTAATTTATGATGTCACCATCGCATTGAATATGTCCATATTCTGAGATATTGCACCGACATGTTTGTTCAAACTTGTTTGATATTTAAAATCACCACCTAAGAATTTTAAAGTGCATCTTTTTATTTTTTTTATTTTTTGACCCCAGAAACATAATAGAGTTTTTGAGACCTTGCTTTTAAATTGTATGTAAAATAAAAATAATAATAATAAGTGTACCTGTTTTTTTTAAAAAAAAACTTTTCTGATTTTGATCAAATATGTGTAACTAAAATTACAATCATTTCGAGAAAAAGTTATCACTTGATTCGCACTATTCTTATTAGAGATTACAAATGTGCCCCCTCTTTTGTTCATTAATTAACTAGGGGGAGTCTTAATAGACTTAGTTAGTTGGATAAATTATTAAATAGTTGTAGTAAATCATTGGTGATTTAGTTTAATTTAAAATTTTTAATTAAAAAATAAAAAGTAAAAGGTAGACATTAAGGAATTGGAGTGGAGACTATGTGTTGTATTACTGCATTAAACAAATTTCATTAATTACATATGTGTGAGTTGAAATCCGTTGATTCAACACAATATAAGAAGAGCTTGTTGGTAAATGGTGATGAAAGGAGAATTTTAAAGTGATCCCAGCTTTGATAACGAGTTCATGGGGTTTAGATTTTTACTTGAAATGTTGTGGTCAGCATGGTATCCTGGAAAAAGGCACAGCCAAACATTCAACCCACATCCTATTGTTTTTCCAAATTTTTACCCGGAAAATTTGCATTAACTTTCTTTTTTATGTGTACATTTTTTATTGTGACAATTTAAGAGAACCTTTTCTAGCAAAATTAAACTGTTTGATAGCAATTATATCTTAATTTTAAATTACTTTCTAGTTGGAAAAGTTGTTACTTCACTCACATTCAAAGGTGGGACAAGGGAGAATAAAATACTTTTGATTGCAGTTCCTACAAGCCATATCTCATTTGAATTCTTATATATCCTCCATATTAATTTAAACATTTATAAGATTATTCTCAAGTCTTAATCATATCCATTTCACGTAGTCTCATGAAATGGAATATAACCACTGGTCTCACACTACATTTTTAATGCAAAAGTCTTGAATTTATTACAGGACAAATTAATATTATACCTAACTCAGATATTATTTAGTGACCTAATTGATAAAATATCCAGCTCCCTAAACCGGTGTGTCTGTATTCACATTTTCCTCTCCTTGATTTGTCCCTAAAAGAATAATAATAATAATAAATAAATAAAAATCAATCTGGAAAACCCACCGGTTGATCTAGTGGGAATCCAGTGCACCGCAGGTAGAACACTTGTTGGTCAGCAGGCCCCGGCTATGAAATGAGGTTGGGTGCCAAACCACAAAATGTGTGGGTTTGACCCATTGTGCGAAAGCAGCATAACTTGGGTCAATTTAACAATCGCCTGTGTTTTGGCTGAGTTAGTAGTCCTATCTATTTACCAGCCCATTTTTTGGATAGTTCATAGAAAAATTCAGCGATATAAAGCATAGACGACAGTCCAAGAATCAAATCTTCAATCATTATCAACAATTAAATCAATTTATGTAATAGGCCTCATAGAGTAACAGCTGGTGCAAAGTTTAAAACCTATACAGTCTACACACCAAATCACACGTCGTGTCACATAATAAACTCCAAAACCACTGTTGAGAGGATTCACTTGGGCTTGAACAAGTTGTCGGCCATGTACCAGCTGGACATGTCATATACATATATATATATATATATATATATATATATGTATGTATATATGTCTGCATCTGCTAGCTTGTGACCAATTGGTCCACATGAGATTTACCCTTGTCTGGAGTCTGGACCTGGACCAAAAACAAAACTCCATATAAAGCGAACTGTCGAAGACCATTCATACACAACATGGTTTACATCCAAATCCTATCACTTGGGAGTTGAGAGAGAGATTGGATTATGCGGTATCGAATTCACCCGTGTACTGCAGAAATTCTGCTCTTGTTTATACATATGTTAGGTATGGTAAATGTTAACCACAATAATTTGATTCAACTATGCTAGAGCACAACCCAAAATGATGCAAATGAGATTTGAGGTTTTTTTTATTTTTTTTTAATTTATGTTTAATTATTTTCTTTTCTTTTCTTTTTTCGGTGGGTTGGTTTAATTCTTATTTTACAAAAGAAGTGGTTTATACATTTCCTTGATGAGCTTATCCTTTAAACTAATGCTACGGAGGATTTTCCCTAATGCTACTCACGACAACCACTCAAAAACGGGTTAACTTATTAATTACTTAAAATAATATTTCTGTTGGATTTATGATTATTGCTCTCTCTTTAGAAAACACAACTTAAATGTTGATATGATTTCCTAATAAATATATATATATATTTGTTGATATGAATAATAGAGCCTGAGATTGGATTAGTATTGGGTGCACTTTTTGCACGTTACGCTACTCAATAATAATGTCTCATTTAAAAAAAAGTTAGCTCATCTAATTATAAAATAATTGATAATGAAATAATATATTATATTTAATTGAGTAGATAAATCAATGACATAACATACACGGTGCATTTAATATCTATTCCAAAGATTCACACCATGAGAGACAAAGAGAGAGCAAGGAGATGAGAGCTCTGAGAGAATGTGTGTCTAGTTAGGTATCATGTCACTTTTGGGTAAGATAGAAATGAGGTGTCATGTCACTTTTGGGTAAGAGATAAATATTGAACAAGAGTTGATATTGCTAAAAGGCAGGCGACTTGAGCTTTAGACGAGTTAGAGCATGTCCAATGGACACAATTTTGGCAATTTTGGACCAAATTTGAAGAATGGCTTGCTCCAATAAGGTAGCCAAAAATTGGGCCCCACCCATTGGATAGCGAAATGGGTCGCGGTATTCCGCGACCCTGTTGGCGATTTGCGGGCCTATCATGCGGGTCTGCATCAATTTTTTTTTTTTTTTTTTAATTCTGGCCCAAACAATGTTTTAGCCCAGAACACTGTTTGGTTAGACATGTTTGGCTTAAAAAAAAAAAAACAGTTTTTTTGCCTGATTTTGGTCCCATTTTTTTTTTTTTTTTTTTCTCAAAATAATTGAACCAAAGAGCAGTTAAGGCACTGTTTGGCTAACCCAAACAGTGCCTTAAAGGTTTTGTTGAGCAACAAAAGTTTTAAAAAAAAATTGATAAAAGTGTTTTTAAAAAAAAAAAAAAAATTTACTTTTTAAAATATTACTACTGACATATAGCTATTTAAGGCACTGTTTGGCGACCCAAACAGTGCCTTAACGGCTATATTGGCACAAAAACCTATTTTTTGAAAAAAAAAATTTAAAATAATTATATACATATTTATTTATTTTTTAAAAAAAACTATTGAAATACATCCGATAGCTAAAAATATTAGAAATAGGGAAAAGTTAAAAAATAAATTTTATTTTAAATTTTAAAAATATTAAAGTATTAATATTTTTGGAGAGCAAAAATGCACCATTGGAGTACATCCGATAGCTAAAATTTAGAGATTTTAAAACGCTGACGTGGCTATGAAAAAATGCTGATGTGGCAAATTCAGAGAGCCTGAATTCGGAGAGTCCATTAGAGATGCCCTTAGGCGGTCGCCTAAGAGCAGGTCCAATAGCAAGCATTCCGGCGATTTTGGGCCAATTTTGAAAATTTTTCTGCTCCAATGGGATAGCCAAAAATTGGGCCCCACTTGTTGGATAACGGAATGGGTAGCAGAATACCGCGACCCTGTTAGCGATTCGCGGGCCTGCCATGCAGGCCCGCATCTATTTTCTTTTAATTTTTTTATTCTGGCCCAAATAGTTTTTTTAGCCCAAAACACTGTAGTTAAAGGCATGTTTGCCTGAAAAAAAAAAAAAAAAAAAAAAAAAAAAAAAGAGTGAAAAAATCAGTTTTTTGGATGATTTTGGTCTCTTTTTTTTTTTTTTTTTTCCCTCAAAATAATTGAACCAAAGAGCCGTTAAGGCACTGTTTAGCTGAAACAAACAGTGCCTTTAAGGCTTTTTTGGGCAAAAAAAGTTAAAAAAAAAAAAAATAGATAAAAATGTTTTTTAAAAAAAAAAATTGTTTTTTAAAATATTCCTACTGAAATATAGCCGTTTTAGGCACTATTTGGCTGACCCAAACAATGCCTTAATGGCTATATTGGCACAAAACCTATTTTTTGAATTTTTTTTTTTAAAAAAAAAATCATTATATATATATATATATATATATATATATATTTATTTATTTATTTATTTATTTATTTATTTATGTACAAAAAAAAAAAAAAAAACTTTTCATTTCTCCTCTATAAATACATCAACCCCTATTATTATTCACATCATATCTAACCCATCTTCTCTAGTTTTCAACTTACAATTACAACCACTAAGTCATTTTCTCAATCTTTTAGTAATATTTTTTACTCAAGTTTAATTCCATGGATCCTCCACCACCATATTACAACTACAATTCCTAATTCAACCAATCAAATGATAATTTTGCTCCCTTCTTATTTGTTGAAGAAGAATCTCAATTTGTTGGAGATGAATCTCAATTTCCGTCTCATCAACCTTCTCAAGTTTCCAACATTCCTACTGAAGTGCCACAATCCAGTAACTCCCAACCTCCCAGAAAGCAAAAGGC